GCCAATACTTCTAACTGTAGGTATGCCCCCAGACTTGCTCCCTTTCGTAACATGGTTTTCTCTAACTGATGTGCCTAGACAATTCCCAGTGATGTGCCTAGACAATTTCGGGGGGAGGTGGGGGTGGGTTCAGGAATAGAGTGCCCAATTATTTTTTTGACCAACTAATTTTGTATTGCAAACTTATTCAACAGTACTTAATACAGTGACAATGCTCAAGAATCAATTCACAATGAAATAGAATATTGAATACGAAATTTAATATGTGATAAAAATTCAGGAACAAAATAATGATATGATTGCATAAGTAAATTAAGTTTTGACAAACTTATAAGTAAATTAGTTTTTGCGGACCTCGGTTTTTTGGGCAAGTCCAAGACATCTTTTGGTGAAATATCAAGTACAGATTGGTCTGCAAAAACGCTTTTGAGCTCTTTAAGAATAAATTCAATTTATAGTTTCCCTCGATCCATAAAAATATTATAATGGAAAAGTGCAGCAAATATGACAAAATTGATACCGTAGATCTTTGAAATTTCAATAATTGGAAAATGTTCTGGTGCAAAACCACCTGCAATGCTGGAAATATTTTACTAATCTGCTGCTCCCTTTCTTTTCCAATTTAGTGGGGAGGGAATCAGTTGTTTAAAGATTGTGTTGACTGCCACACTGATTTCAAGCTGTTTCTTCTGAATTTCATCATCCATTATTTTTCTTTTTTTACAGTATACTTTCATAAACATAATAGCAATGATAAATCTGATGATTTAGAGGAACAAATGGTTTTGTTCCTGCATCTTTATCACATTTTGCAACTTCCTCTAGTACTTCAGGTACTTCTTTGTATGATTGCTCTCACAGCTTCTGGTTGGGCATGCCATCTTGTCTTTGATAGGTTATCTAGTTACCACTTGTTATAAACTTGTTATACTTGGCATATAGTTTTGAATGCCAAGAGGTGCTTTATCAAAAAAGGAAGATACTGAGTCAAAAGTGTCTTACATACCAGATATAACTGCACTTACATCTGTGTTCAATGACCAAAATTCTTCCAAGAGGTCTACATGGAATCCTTTTCTGGCATTATATATTTCTGGCAAGATGGGCTCACTGCATAGGTTTAAAAACATACCAGACATGTATCTGGGACGCATTTTGCTATTATAGATGTCAGCAAGTCCTAGTCCTGGCTTGTCAGAATATGTTAGCCGTCTAATGAGTCTCAAGCCAAGATTTTAGGAGTGGTTACATTTGCTTAGTGGTAGACGATTTATTTCAATTTTGAATCTTCTTCATTTTCAGTCCTGAATGAGATTGATTGTCTAGCTTTTGCAGGGCCTTTGACGAAGGGGGGGGGGAGGTGCTGGGGCACGGCCCATCCACTTTTTTGTAAAACAATAGAGCTTTTTAAAAATTATTTTGTTTTGATTGTTAAAATCTCCCTTGCCCCCCCCCCCCATTTTCCAACTTGTGCTGGAGCTCATGTTTTGTTCTGTCAAACATTGTGATAATTTCCCTGTTCTCCATAAGTTTTCTTCCTTTTAGACATAGACAAGGTATCACTTTCTTCATTTTTAATAGAGCTCCGAAGGTTTGGGACAGCAAAATTGTTCAAAATTATGGAGAGCTGCTTGGTGGCTTTTGCTTTTGAAGTGCTCCTCTAACCTAAACTGCTATTCATCTTCATCCCATTTGTCATTCCATCTGACCAGCCATTTTTATTTTTTCCCTTGTCATTCCCTTCCTCAAACAACTAGCAATCAAAGCAATATGCAAGATCTTTGCTCAAGTGTGAATGATATGTTCTAGATACAGATATATTGGTACCAGCTTAATGGCAGTTTATTTACAATATTCCAAGGAAGAAAGTTATAGCAAATCATACAAACAAAATAAATGCATTACATGTTGAAAGTGAGTCAGACTTCCCAATTCCTGCTAAATTTTTTGCTGTATGACAGACTTTCTTGAAGTTTCATAAACATTTGGGGGCATGATACCATTTAATACTTGAAGATAGAAAAAAAGGAAATGAAAACTTTGGCACTGCACTCCACCAGTCCTTTTTGTGAAGAAATTTTCGCAAGGATCATGAAGGACAATGAGGAAATGATGCTTTGTTTTCATTAACAACTTGACCCTTCATTCAGGAATGCCATACTTTTTAAGGACAGATTAAAAGAAAATACGTTACGTTTGACCAGCTAAGTAAAAACATAAGATAAAACTTGAAAAAAGTTTGACCTTTTAAATTTCTTCTTCCCTCATCCTCCCTAATTGCATTCTTTTGGAGCTTCGATACAAAGTCTCTTACTTGGAGGCTCTATAACAGTCTTACGTTTTTTCCTCCAAATGAATGTCAACTGCTCTTTTTGGTATAGCGTTTCTTTCCATTACTGTCCAGCTCTTATCATTGTCGCTTATTATCAGTATTTGTTGTTCCCGCTTATGAGTAACCGATGTGGGGGCCATCAAAGTTAACGGGACAATGGACTTTGAACTAGATTGTTCCTATAGAAAACGGACTAGATGACTAGATCGTTTCAAAAAACAACTTAAAACACATCTATTAAACATGACCTCCTTATAGCAAAACTAGATGCTTACGGATTCAGCCATGAAGCACTGTGTCTTGTTAACAGCCACTTGGAAAATAGGCATCAGAGAGTTAAGATTAATGGATCATTCAGTACCTACAAACAACTGTTCCTTGGTGTTCCGCAAGGAACAGTTCTTGGTCCCCTCTTCTTTAACATCTACATAAATGACTTACTTCTCTCCTTAATGGATACGGATATCTGCAATTACGCGGATGATACAACTCTATATGAGTGCGATAAAAATCTCAATAATGTAATTGCAAGGCTAGAGAATGACTCAAGTATAACTATCCAATGGTTCGCTGATAACTTTATGAAGTTGAATACAAACAAATGTCATTTACTTATTCTTGGCAAAAGTTCTAATCAACAGATTAAAGTTAATGTAGGAGATTCTATTATAGAAAACTCGGAAGAGGAAAAGCTACTAGGTGTTGTGATAGACAAAAAACTCAGTTTTGAGACACGTATCAGTAAGTTATGTAAGAAGGCTGGTAGCAAACTCACTGCCCTCGCTCGCTTATCTGGATACATGGACGCTAATAAACTTAAAATCTTAATGAGAGCATTTGTAATTAGCCAATTCGAATACTGTCCACTAGTCTGGATGTTCCACAGTAGGCACTTGAATAGTAGGATTAATAGAATACACGAAAGAGCTCTGAGAATTGCATACAAAGACTATGATTCTAGCTTCAACACTCTGCTAGAAAATGATGGCTCGGTAAATATTCATGTAAAACACCTGCGCAATCTTATGATTGAAATGTTTAAAACAAAGGGGAATATCAACCCTACTTTTATGAGGGAAATTTTCTGCGAGCATCATGCTGTTTATAATTTGAGAAATAATAATGAATTTATGGTACCAAGAGTAAGAACAACCATTTATGGAACCGAAACTATCAAGTATAGAGGGCAGCGTCTTTGGCTCTCTTTACCTCAGCACATAAGGAATGCTCAATCTATTAATGAGTTTAAGAAAGAAATTAAAAGCTGGAATGGCACAGACTGTACATGCAAATTATGTAGGACGTTCGTGCCGCAGCTTGGTTTTTTGTAATTCTATCTTTTAAATAGCTCAGGTTTTTATAGTTTTTTAATGGATCATTTTGTACTTAAAATTTTATGTATTTAATCTCGTATGTATTTAGTTGATGTAGTAGTTTTAACAGTTGGCTTGGATTAGCTCATTTCTTTGTAAATAGCTATGTAGCGCCAACTTTAAATAAATTGATTATTATTATTATTATTATTATTATCTCAAGAGCTGACGCTAAAACACAACTCCCTGGAAGAACAGCATTAGGTAGATAAGATATGTAGGTCTTATAATCTTTAATTGTTAGACAGGTTATCAATGTAATTAGATTCTTAATTATATTTTTTCTTATTTTGCTTAGATTTTCATTTACTGAAAGGTTTATTTGTCTATAAAAATATTTAAATGAAAAAATGAAAGTGAAGAATACTTGTCGCGGATTACGGAAATCTGGCAATTTCTGGACAGAATTCTACACACTTGCCGGGCGCGAAATTTCTCGATACGGAAATTCTTCACCTGTTGTCTTGTAAAAAAATTTTTGAATAAAGGTCCTATCAACGATTTTAAGACGCGGAATTTTGGCTAAAAATGACCGAAACGGCGGATTTCTACCCCCGTTGACGGCCCCCGCTTCGATTGCACTCGCGTTTTAAAAGCGTTCAGCTAAAAGGCCTCGAGGGAAATCGTTGACGACGCCGCGAGAAGATGTGAATTGAATAGTAGTGACAACAACAATAGTGCGTCTTTTGCTAACTTTTTCTTGAGTGCTCTACCTTTCTCTTGCGGGCGATACATGTTTTCACGAGGGCGGTCAGGGTCAATAGCCCGCTTCAGCACAGCTAATTCCAGTAAGAAGACAGATCACATGAAGTAAAAATTTAAAATACAAATTAACTATTTCTGCTACATAGAGCAATAATACTGTGGAGTGCAATATACAAATATCTAGATAGAAATAATCACGGAAAAGCTAAATTGATTGGTTACTAAGGGGATTAAGAGCAAAACATTTTAGCCAAAATTGCAAGGCAAAAGTTATCAATCATAATGTGAGGCAAAAATTGACTATCCACAATGCAAAGCGAAAATCTTCTTGATATAATCAAACATTTCTGTAATCGGAGCTTTTGTGGAAGGAACCTCTTTTGACTAATGGTCGCGAGAACATGCTGTTTTATCGACCAATCGTTGACTAAGGCGTCCTACATTCCGGGCTTCGCGTCGGCACGAAAATTCATAAACGACTAAAAGATTATGTTCACTAATAATTGTTAAGGCTAATATCTGCTGTGCCTTGATTTCATACACCAGCTTTTCAAGAAATATACCTTAAACAAATTGTATTGTTTTTTTAGTTGAACCTGTTACTCGTCCACCATTTTATAATCACCTCGGATCAGGCCCAGATGTCAAGCAGCTAAGAGAAAGCTTAGAAAAAAGGTATTTATCAGTTTAATTTCTGCTAAAAATTCAACAATATTTGAATATTTGCTTTTTTGAAAGCCTTTTTTAAGTTATGTAGCACCAAATCATTGTCAACAATATTTCATATCTTACACCAAACATATGAATATTAATTCCTATTTAAGAGAGATTTTTTTTTCATCTAAGATTCAATGTGACTGGCCATGCATTGCGAATCGAAAAAGTAAGGTACACTTGCGAAGAAGGGAAAAATCGTGAAGGTTGTCCAGTTGCAAAATGGGTAAGATCTATCATTGCAAGTTTACTGCCTGGCATTGATATTTTCTTGGTCAAAAAACTTGTTAATTTTCTCATCAGCACACATGATAAGCTGCAGCAAAACACAATCGTTGTGAGAATGACTTCCCTTTGACCCTCCAATAATGGAGCTAAGCATTGGTCATACCAATAGTACGTCAGGTTTTCATTAAATTTGCCTTTTTTCCAAGGTTTATATGTTAATGTATAGTGTTGTGTAGTATTAGCAGAAAGGAGCGGACATGGTCATCATTGTCGTTAATTTCAGGTTCTTCGACGTCAGGATGTCGATGAGAAGATACTGGTAGTTGTAAGAGAAAGGCCTGGCCATTTATGTGAAGACAAAGTGATTGTTATATCGATTGTTGTCTGGGAAGGATTTGAAAGGAGTAAAGCCAGCTATTTGTATCAAAGATTGACATCATTGCTAAGTGAGCATGCTACGATGGTAACTCGAAGATGTGGCACCAATGAGACGTAAGATTTGTGAAGATTCCATTAATTTCACTCTTCATATCTAAAATCGAATTTTCTACACAAATATCGTAACTACTGTAACTATTATAATATGCTCCCTTAGAAAGAACTGCTGTTGCCAAGGAGACAATGCGGACACATGTGGAGCTTCGTTTTCTTTTGGATGCTCTTGGAGTATGTTTTACAATGGATGTAAATTTGGAAACAGTACCTCTCCAAGAAAATTCAAAATTCAGGAAACAGAAAAAGTATGTGTCCTGTCCCTTTTTCGGTTTATTTTTTCGGTTTTTTTCTGTCCAGAAACCAGTGGACAAGTCTTTGGGCAACTTTTGGCCTTGGGGGTTAAATTCCTTATTCTCTATTACAAAGGAAGAAAACCATAACCTTCAAATCTTTTCGTGATTGGTTTGCGGAAAACAAAGTAAGCAGTCATTTTGAAAAGACAAACCCAAATCTATTCTTTTTGGTAAAAAGGCAAAAGCCTGGATAAGCCTCGTGTAAAAATGTCGCGCAGAGTGTAATTAGCACTCAGCCCCTGTGGGGGAGCTTATTTCGCGAAAAATATTGAGGGCTTATTCGAGGATTTACAATAACTATAATACTTGGAAAAATGGCAATTTGAAATGTTTGTAAAGTAAACAACACTTCCTGGTTAACTCCCTTTGCAGGTTGTACTTAAATAAAATTGCGCATGCACCTCATTCGTGTCATGATTCCCGAGGTTGAGCAAAAGAATTTACATTTTACAAATAAATTCGCGTCAATCTAAATCTGCATATCACGGCACATGTTGGGGCTACATAGTTCACAGCTATACACTAGCCAGCTTATAGCTTGAAAACAAGGAAAAACTGTAAAGATTTATATAACCTATCTTCTGGTTAAAACCCACAAATAATCCAACTCATTGCCGAAAAGTAACGTGGAGGTCAACGTTTATATTAAACCTCCCATTTCACAACACAACACAACACAACACAACACAACACAACACAACACAACACAACACAACACAACATAAAACAACACTTCCAGTAACGGATTACTGTTTACTGGCCTGGTTCATAAAGTTAAGAACAGGGCAGAGACCAAGTTACAGTGATTTGATGGAAAGAGCCTGAGTTCATCTCACCCAAATTGCAATAAATTTATCTGATTTCACACGTTCCGGCTATTGCTAGATTCCTTTTCAAGTTATGTCATCCTGATTCAAATAATCTCATAATAAATTTTGTTACGTCATAACTTACAACCTCTTTTAACTGGAGATTCCTTTGCAATCTGTAAAAAGGGTTAATCTACCCATGCAAATTTGATTATTCTATTTTATTTGTTTTATGCCCTTATGTTTTCTCTGTCATTCTATCCCGTGTTGTATTTTTTGAGCTTTTCTCAGATACATGCAGGACAATAGATTCAAGTCATATAGCCGTAGGCAAGGCAACCACGCAACTGATATTAAGAATAGAAAATGCGTAAGAGAAAAATAGGTGCGTAAATCTGATCAGCTTTCTAAAACTGGTGACACCAGTCCAGATCCTTGCCTGACACCCAATACATATATGTAACCGCATCTTTCAATTTAAATTTATTGAGCTCCAAAGCTTCGGCAAACTCTAAGATTCTCACTCACTCTCTCTCGTGTCACTTCTTTCAATGAAACCCCAATTTACCGAAATTTATCTTATGTCATACCGTGCTTATCTGAAATAGCGCTCCGGCGCGAATGAGCGCCCCATCGAAGTAGCGCCCCTGTAATGGCTAAAACAATCCGGGCGCCCTCTGCAGAGGCGCTCATTCAGATAGTATGTAAGAACAGGCGAAGCGAAAAGACAAAAGACGAGTTCTTCAGTAATGTTTTGCTTTATTTTATGACCAACTAAAAAAAACAAAGACACCCGCTCAAATATAGGGAGTGTACTACGCTAAGCTACATGGTAGTTGTTGAAAGACCGCAAGATGAAGGTTCCTTTATTTATATTGGTAGACGGAGATGGAGACGATGATAAAGCCATTGAAATACAGCTTCAGTATTCACATACTTTGTATCTTGTGTATTTTTTTCACTTTTTTTTGTGATGGTTATTTTTTTAAATATTTTTTATAGGAAGCAGAAGTGAAGCTTTTATTAGAGAGTCTTGCAACGGAATTTGGACCCAAATGTAAGATGTTCGCACCAAAGGCTTACTACAACATGGTAAAATGTTTTTTATTCTTCTTTGCACATTTCAAGGTTGTGTGAAAACTGGAAACAAATTTCTGCACACTTAAAGCACTTTTTGCAGAAAGGTGAATGGAACGTTTTATAATTTAAGGGGCGTAGTGGCTATGTGGGTTTGGAGGGGGGTGTGATTGTTGTTAAATAAAAGCTTAAACGTTGTAGATTTTGCGGTGGTTTTGTATCATAGTATTGGATGACACCCTGAAATCAATGTTAGATAAAGCATTGTAAGATTCTCAAGATAGTAGTCTGCAAACAAACTTTGTAGAGAATTTTTCTTATCCCTCTATTTTCACATGCTATTATTGTTATTCAACCTTGATTGGGTCATTTTATTTCGCTTTTCTTACATTTTTTCACATTATGATTTTCTTCAATTGAAACAAATCTTATGAATGTGTCCAAACTTGAATATTTTTAGACATACTACGACTCAATTGCTTCCCAATGCCGCATGGGAAAAGGTGAAGGACGTCCTTTTTCTGGACTGACCTGCTGTCTTGACTTCTGTGCCCATAGCCACAAGGACTTACATAACATGAACCACGGAACAACAATGGTATGTGTCATATGCAGTAGAATACCGTGTTGAAAGCGTCCTTTTGTGCAGCATAAAAAGGTTTCAGCCAATATACACTTGTTTTCCTCTTTATCCAAGAAAGGGTCTTTTTAATGACGCAGAGTAATTCACGTTTAGGATTGATTGATAAGTGCAAGAGAAATTGTTAATAAATATAGCCATTTTGATGCAGCTTCTATCTCTTCAGATAAACACAATTTTGATTTTGATTTTTCAAGAAAATATAGAATATTCAAACCGAAAATCGAAATTGATTTGGAAAAAAATTGAAAGTTTCTTTCGATAAGAATTAACAACAGAAAATCCATGTTTACTAAAAGATACACGAGTAAGAACATACCCAGGCCAAAAGCAAAAGTGTAGCTTTTTATGCAGTTTTTATTAATTTGAATTTTTAGTTATTGAATTAGTAAAGCCCAGGCGCTTAATTACTTACCACCAGAATTAAGACGAAAAAAACTTGAATAGTTAAAGGAAAAGTCTGGGAAATTTGCATACGCCAAATTCAAGAAATTAAGCATTTCTTCTCAACATATCTGTGACAGCGAACGTGATATTGATCTTGAGCGTGAAACTGAGCTAGACCATTGTTAAGTAAAGAAAGGCCGTTTCGATTCTAGCCAGACTCGTCTACACGGTGTACAACTAAATTTGGGAAGGCATCCAGATGAAAAGGCTTCGCATCTTCTACACGTATATATCATTAAAGGGTGTGTAGATGGACAATGTTGGTTAGAAAAGTGATAAAAACATCAAGGTAAAGTTAGCAGAAACAGCTGGATGATCTCAAATTGAGAAAAAGCAAGTCAATTACTGTTTCAGCGAATTACCTTGAAAGAATTAAACAAAATGTAACCGGCCATAAAATTTGTGCTGCCAGTTTACAAACGCAGGACCTGTATTGCATAAAAATTAACTTTTTGAAATGAAAATGGAGGTTAAATTTTTCACTATAAGTGAGTTACTATAAATGTCCGCTTCAGAGAGATGTCCTTTTAAATATTGTTCATCTGATAGAGATTCCATTGTCTCTTTGTATGCTTCAGTATTTGGAGATTTGCTTTGATGTGTCGTTTCATCTTTCTTTGCAAGATGACTCCTCATACGCCTTTAGAGAATTGCAGTAACAATATGATACCTTGCAACATATTTTTTTTGTTCTGTACAGATAATAACAAAGTATTGATTTCAAGTCCGTTGCTTACAATTTACTACCATCTTTCTTAACTTCACTATTTTTGTAAAGCATTTTTGCTTGAACCTTGTGATACTTGACGTTGTTGAACTTTGGGAAAAATTGAAAAAACATTCAGTGCACACTATCAGCAAAATCGACCTTATTAATGACCTTTATAAAGTACCAATGACCTTTATAAGTCTGACGTAATCAAAAAACCCATTTTAAAATTATGCTTTTTTGCCACGTAACCTAAAAGAAAACCATCAAATATTTCCAGTAATATTTTTTTGTGACGTCAGCACTTTGGAACACTTTCAATTGGAAGTCGTTCACTGAAGTGAATATGTGACATTGAGGAATATATTTTTATTAACAGGTTTTGACACTTCTGAAGAAAGGATCCACTCGGTCGGTAGGAAATACTGCTGATTGGAATGTTCAGGGTGGAGGACAGGAAAATCATAAAAATGAAGATGACGATTGCGACGACGAACAGCTACATGTTTTACCAATGTATCAACTTCTAAATGACGATGACACTGTTTGTGCCACTAACTACGCAACGCCTATACATACCTTAAAGAGTAAAATTGTCCCAAGGGAGCCTAATTTAAAACGGCCTTCCAAGGCAAAAAGAAAGCCAAATCGCTCAAAGGGTGACAATGAAAATGGAAAGTATCGCAATACCACAAATACAACACTGGAAAGTTTGAATCGGATTTCATCTTTGAACGAAGTGGGTAGGACGGCAACGGAAGATTGTAAATGGCCCATTGTGGACGCAAATAGATTAGCAGGGTCACTTGATTGTACGCTGTTGTCGAATAGCCAACCATGGGTAACAGATGAAAACCTAACCGGGGAAAATACCGTCGACGAAATATCTTATGTTCATGAGAGTCAGATTCCCTCGGTATTTTCTCATCCATTGCATAATGTAAAAAAGGTTTCAAGGAAAATGCAAATGAAAGCCGGGAAAGTATCACATGCGCAGCCGAGGGTAAGAAGCATAAATGAGTGCCAACCAGTGATGTTTCGTCAACAGCATCCACAGCCATGTACATTACGTGTCTTTTCTGGTGACAGTGCCAAGTTAGACGAACTGAAAACTGGAACTTTTCATAATTTGAAAGATGCATTTAGCAGTAGGCACCTTGAAACTAATGAATTATACCTTTCTGAGCTGGAAACAAACGTGTGCAGTAATAGCAAGGACCTAGCAAATAATAATTTTGCTGCAACGCAACAAACTGTTTTTGATGATTTTGTCACCGAGGCAATGGGCGGTGTAGGCATCGCTTTGACACATGGGTCAGTATTGATTGAATGCGCCAAAAAAGAACTCCATGCAACAACAGCACTAAAAAATCCACAACGCCAAAATCCAACTAGACTTAGTATTATTTTCTACCAACACAAACAATTAAATTTGCCAAACCACGGTTATTATGAAAACAAGAAAAAGATGTCAGATAGGCAAAGAAAGCGAAATGCACAAGATATGAAACCAGCAGTTTCCTTAAAGAAAGGCCGCGCTGGTGTTGCCGTTCCCCTATACGACCTGCAGTTACTAGCAGAGGCAGCGTTTTCTGAATCGCTTAACCATGGGAACAGAGCAACTTACGACCAAAGACTAACTCAACAGCTTCCTTGGGAAATTGGAAACAGTCAAACACCAAACCTTTGTTCAACTAGTCCTCATAGTTTCGATTCTACGAAAAATGCTGTAGAACCTCCTTTGCCTACATTACCTTTTCAAATGGAAACTGCTTCTTACTCTAATCCTTGTAGTAATGCAATGCGTGCTTTTGACGTAGTGGGAGCACTCAAGCTGCGTGGGCATCAGCAACCAAGCATGCGAAATCAAAGCCATCCTCGGTCAACAAGCCATCATGATCAACAGAATACTTTCAATGGTCCGATACTAACACCTACTCTTCAAGGTATTCCAAAAGGATCACGTGGAGACATTGTACACAGTGGTCTATTCCACTTCAATCAATCTGCACATTCGTCTGTCTACCGAAGTGACGCCAGGGACGTGTTTAAGTCATCTTTTTCTATTACATCTTTGTTGGGACTAGAAGAAACTGATGGAAACTCAGCTTCGTTTCTAGCCACTGCACCTGTGCAACCCCCATTGTGGAATGCTGCAAATCAGGGTCGTTTTCTTGAGAAGCTGAGTAATGGCCCCAACGACGTGAGCAATGGCCACAACGATGTGAGCAATGGCCACGACAACGTGAGTAATGGCCGCAACAACGTGAGTAATGGCCGCAACAACGCGAGTAATGGCCCCAACGGCGTTGAAGTGACTCACCAAGCCGTTCACAATGCTTGTTTTAAAAGTGAACGCTGTCTTGATAACAATAAAACGCATCTTTGGCAAGTATCAAATCAATTTGATGGTTTTGAGCAACAACTATTTGATGAATGTATTAACTATGAAAGGGATCGTCATTTGTTGAAAAGCGCAAACAAGATTTTGCTATCTGACAACGTGACGGCAAATGGAAGCGAACTCAATAGGTTTTTTAATCATGCAAACACTGATGTTTTACATCAAAGGGGTTTGCGAGTAAATGATACAGGTCCGACATCACACGTGAGCATTTCTAATAGGGTGTGGTCCAACACTTTAAGTAGAGAAGCTTGGAGCTTTGCCTCTAATAATAATTTGACGTATGCAGTGAATGAAAAAGACAACGGTTTGGGATTTGCGGGGATCAACATGCATCATAAAAACTCTGTTACAGTAGATCGTTCAAATGAAAATTTAAATTTCAATACAACACACTTTCAACCTGACTGGAATTCCTATTATAGTTTCTGAAAATGAGCAAAGGGTTAGAATCCACAATATGTATGAAATATTATCAATAAACCGATTTTAATAATTCAATTCACCTAAATTATTTGCATACTGTCTTTTCAGCATTTTAAACCATCTTTATAAAGTTGTTTATTGTTAAGCGAGAGGGAGAGGCGTCCAACGCGGTGTGTCTTTTAATTAAGTATTTTTTTATTTGAGCCAGCACAGAATAAAAGTGGAATTGCAAATAGCTTAGTTGGTTTTTTGAAGTACACTTATCTGACACCAAAATCAACCATTTAAATAATTTCAACATTCCCGTCGCGTGAATTTCACTTTCTGATTGGGCTTAAGCTAATTTTCTCTTCGTCGGTTAAACTTTTTGCTGTAATTTTATTGGTATTCTCTGCCCTCCAATAGAAGGCTTTCCTTTTCTTGTCAGCCAAGTGAAATAGCCATATTAAATTGGCTACAAAAATAGCTATTATTCTTTCCATCACAATGCGATTTGACGCAAGTATCTTGCCAAATGGAAGATGCACCCTTCGCACCTGCCCTTCGCACCTACCCTTCGCACCTACCCTTCGCACCTACCCTTCGCACCTACCCTTCACACCTACCCTTCGCACCTACCCTTCGCGAACAGCAATGGGTGTTTTTTGTCAATGTGTCGGAAACTGTTTTATTTTTTTACTGCCACTATTAAAGTTCGGCTGGCGAGTTGGAAGGTTGCATATGGTTCGGGTCGTGATACGGCACCCAGGCATAGTGGTATCAGGTTGCAACAAAACAAGTAAATTTTCAACCGTCCCCCAGCATTATGTTGGCCCAATGCAGGTTTCCTCCACAGGCGCCCTGCCTACGGGTCAGGATAAGGGACTAGCCTTGACATCTGTTCAAACATCAATGAAGCATTTCAATGATGTTAGGGTCCCGTTTACAAATGTATATTGCCCGGAGGAACGGGCTAAACGAGAAATAAGGAAACATTCAGGCCCCAGTAAAGCTCCCATATTTCATCCTGGTTAACGTTTAATAAGGTATGTGGAATTAACATATGTAATGTTCACACTGCACAGTCTTTTGAAAGCGCCTCCAGTTGCTATCACATAATTTCTATAGAATATATTGTAGTGTTCAAATTGGCAAATATAAAAGCGCTAGTTAATGCGATTGTGCTTGTTAGTTAGCTGCCAGGTTAGTTACAAGCTCGTGCAGGTAAGGAGTCACTCACCGCAATCGATGAACAATCTGCTTTTGGGGCTATTTGACAAAATTGGGTGCTAGACCCAGTGAATTATGCCTCTTTGGACCTTATTTTATCATCTCTTTTCTGTTAACGAATGATTGTACGCCCCATTTTTCCCAGTTCTTGTATTTCAAATCTGGCGGTCTCCGACAAACATGAACGCATTTTAAACAAAATAATTCTTATGAACAATGCCGTTGCACAAGTTTTAAATAGCGGCCAATGTTAACAGCCATAAGTTGGAGCAAGCAAGGATAAACTCGCACTCTTAAACAAGCGCCCAGTGTGATATTAAACATAATATGAGAATTATCACATCAAATTTACACAAGAAACAGCGTATTAGCTAGAAGCTACTTTACAATTTATTTTTCATAATCTGAGGAAATGCATGCGATTCATAGCCGGGTAACCTTTGAAGCAAATTGCAGTTCCTTCATCCTTTTCCCCAAGTTTTCCTTGTAGTCGTTGTACCTATCGAAAATAAAAATAATGGGGCCATACTTAATAATACGGATATAGGGAGAACATATTGACGGAGAGTTTAAGCTACAGGAAAGAGCACTCTCAAAACGCCCAAAAATAACGACAACTAGCCTCACATTCTGAATCGTCTCCTTAATAACTAGCCTCTCTTCGTGAATAGCACCGTCTACAACTAGCCTCTCTTCGCGAATAGCCCAGTTTACACCTAGCCTCTTTGGTCAATAGCCCTGTCTATAACTAGCTACACTGACTGAACAGCCCTGCCTATAGCTAGCCCCTTCAATAACTAGACTTACTCCTTGCATAGCTCGGACTAGAACCAGTCTTTCTTCGTGAATAAGCCCGTCTATAACTAGCCTCCTTTCGTGATAAGCCCTTTCTACAACTAGCCTCCCTTCGTAAATATCCACGTTTATCACGAGTTGCTTTCAATATTCAGAACAACTACCCAGAACTGTTGTTATCCTTCAATAGCCATCCGCAGTCAATTAATTTCCAAAATAATCTAAAAGAAACGGCTACACAAATTTTCTTATCTTTACAATGGTTCAACAGAATTTTCATTGCATAATGCCTTATTGCTACAAAAATCTTTCGAGAAAGCAAACATTTATTTATGTGCCCAAACAAACCTTTCTTTTAATTTTTCAACTTCCCTCTCTTCCTCTTCTTTAAACTTTTCGAGAAATATTTCCAGTTCTGACATTGCAAAATTAATGTACTGTGCAATCTAGCAGAAATTAGAAGTGATCAATGAGAAATGTATTTTGGAATATGATGCTTGAAAAGTCATTATTGAAAAAATGATTCTTCAAAAGTGCTTCTTGGAATATGATTCTTTGGAAATGACTTTTGAGAAGTGGTTCTTAGAGATATGATTCACTTTACATCACTTTACATCTCAGAACAAAAGCTTTCATAAAGAACACTTTCTAAAATTAACATTTCCAAAAAGAAAACTTCCAAAAAGAAAACTTCCCAAAAGAACACTTCTCAAAAAGAGGACTTCCCAAAAAGAGAACTCCCCAAAAAGAACACTTTTTATCTCAAAACGAAAGCTTTAATAAAAAAACTTTCCAAAATTAACATTTCCCAAAATTAACATTTCTAAAAAGAAAACTTCCCAAAAGAACACTTCTCAAAAAGAGGACTTCCCAAAAAGAACACTTTACAACCAATAAAGAACAATCTCCATAAAGAAGACTTCCTAAAAATAACCCTTTCCAACAAGAAAACTGCACAGAAATGACACTTAGCTTCCCAAAAAGAAGCATCCAAATAATAACGCTTCCTAAAAAAAATTTCCCAAAAGTAACGCTTTCTAACAAAAATTTCCCAAAAATAAGGCCTCCTAAAAAAAAATTCCCAAAAATAACGCTTCCTAAAAAAAATTCCCAAAAATAAGGCTTCCTAAAATTAACACTTCCAAAAGAGCTGCAAAAAGTATCGGAACCTGGGAACTAGATTCCCAGAAAGTTTTTTGGCTTGGCAGAAAATTTTCAGCAAAATTTGATAAGAAACAGTTCATACATAACATATCTAAGGTTCATACAAATGCAAGCTTGAAAAGTTTCACATTTTGAAAACCCTTTATAAAAGCTATTAGTCATCTGTCAAACATCACAAAGAAATTGGATAACCTAGAAACAACTTTCAGTTTCCTTGTTTAAGAGCTTTTTACAGATAAAGCTGCAGAACTGAAGTAGGCATTTTATATGCTTTGAAAAGTGCTTTTTCTGTTGCCTTATATCAGGATTCTTACAGAACAAAAGCTATGAAAATTACATGCATCCTCAGTTTTCTTCTTGCTAGCAATACTTTACTTGACTTAAGTCTTGCCTGAGGTGTTGGCAGACTTGGCAAGTCTTGATTCTTGATTGAGTTCTTGAGAGACTTGCCAAAGTTTATGATTGATATTAAATTACATCCTCGTGCTCTTTTGAATCTTATTTGCCCTTATCTTATCTGTCACCATTTATTTTTGTAAAAGATCATGTTCACATTTGTACCCATCATATGAAATGAAAGGCCGGTAAAGTAGACTCTGGTTAAAGTCAAACCAAATGTTGCTTGAAAATTTGTGACTTTAAATGGAGTGTGACTGTAAATGGAGTGCGACTGTAAACGGAGCTAAGTTGAAAAGCTTTGCATATCTTGGTCTAAACTTTATGTGACTGCAATGGGTAGTGTGACTTTAAGGGAAGTGACTATAAGCAGAGTCAACTGTTCGAAAGCCAGATTCAGATTCCCTAAACTGGTTCGACTGGTTCCAATGCCAAGAAATTATTACGATGTCATAAATACGATGACGTCATGAACTCAAAAGTTGTTTACGCCATCAAAAATCAAAAAGGTCATGCAACATTAGAAAGTTCTCATCGAAATCAGTCGAATGTTGGCATTCTCGATGATCTATGATCCTCCGGCAAAAAATAAACTCACTTTTTTAGTTTTCTAGCTGTTTAGTGTCTACCATTTTAAAGAAAACCAACATTGACTATTCAAGTGGCTGAACGCGTTTCTTTTGTACATCCAGTTCTACTATGCTGCATGTTTGTGAAGGTCTCTAACGCAGGGGCGTAACTTGGCCGATAGGTTTGGGGGGGGGGGTGAAAAGGGTTTCTGCCCTGCGAAAATGAGTGGTGCCCTGCAGACCTCGTAGCAAAGGTTTTTCTATAGGTTACTAGTGAAAGCTTTACCAGTGTAAATTTGTCTTTACCAAGAACAAACTTCTAAGCAATAAAAACAAACTTGAAACTTCATTGCTTATTAAATATCTATATTTTTACGTGAGCGTAAATTAAATGTAAAATTTGATTTTCCTTTGTAATAAAGCTTCTATTTCATGGCATATCAAGTTTAGTGAGGTAGGAGGACCCACCATGGTTGGGTCCGACGTGAAGAAAAATTTTGAAATTATTCCTTGTAAAAGGGCTAAAAAGCATCTCCCGGACTAAAATTTAGCAAAATATTATACTGCTAATAAAAAGATTATTGTTTATTGAAAAAATAGAGAGGAGGGATGGTATGCTAAAACTCTAGTGATAGACGTTGTGGAAGGAAAGAAACGGTAACCTTTTGTTTCAGATTGCACAAAGTTGTGAGTGACAGAGCAATGTTGTTTTGATTAAGAGAATTTTATTTCCTGAACAGAAATGTGGAGTTTCTTATCTCGAGAAGGCCATGTTTACACTTCCAAAATGAAAACATTTGAATGATACAAACAGTGATTTACTGAATTAATGCAAATAAAAGAAAAATAATAAAAAAATATCAATTAGATCAATTAAAATCGGCATCTTAAACGTTTATTCTCTTTTCATTTCATACACTGCTAAACATTTATAGAAAAAATGATAAAAAATTCTTATCTTGACCAAAGTGGGGGCCTTCAGCCCCCTATTCCCCCCAGTGGCGCCGTACCTGTCATGAAAATAATTTACAACTTAAATTAATTTGTGTGGACTCAACCTTGACCTCATAAACTCATGCATCAATCATTGCATCCATTGGCTATGACTTTCGGTAAGGAATGCTTTCGCTTTGCTAATAACGGAGCTTTTCCTGACATACCTGTTCAGTTCTCTAAAATGCAATGTCAGGAAGGGAGGTTTTTAACAAATATAATATTTCTATTTCAAAATTCGTAAACGGCCCTTTTCGAACTTCAGAGGTGGCATTTCTGCGTGGTAATAAAGCTCTTCTTGGCGCCCTGCGAAATCGGCTATTTTTAAGATTTGGGGGGGGGGTGTCACTAAGATTTGGGGGGGGGGTGACCCTACATTAAGATTTGAAGGAGTGCCTGATCTAAATCTTAAATCAAACTAAGCTATATGAGTTTTGCATGAATGTGTTACATCCACAAAAGATCATCTCCAGAAAGCAGTAGGGATGGCTTCACTCTCATTAGAATCGGCTTTAATCGATCTTCAGAAAGCTTCCATCCGAAATCTGTAGGTGACGGTAAGTCTTGATGCGGTGATCCAGCTTGTTTCCATATCATTGCTTGGAAGTGTGCTCTTCTTATGTGAAGATGTGCCACAACACTTGTTGGAGGCAATGCCTCGGGTTTTGTTTTCTTGAAAAATAGAACGTGTCGGGCTTCATTTGTGGTGTTGTTGCGACCTGCACCATAAACGTGGCAAAGAATTTGTTCTGCTTTCCGCATTACTTGTTCGTTAATACCTTCTTCTCCCATGTTTCGCAAGAGTTCATGAGACTCTTTAAAAACTTTCCATGCAGATGCCTTTGTATTCCCAGACAAGTATGAAGTTGTATCAAATCCAGCAAGAGTGTGAAAGGGGATGAGTGCTTTAACAGATCCCTCGTGCAAGGCGTGAAGAATCTCTTTGACTGGAATATATTTCCTCTTCTTTGACGTTCCAGACATCATTCAAAGATCATTGCATCGCATTCGTTAAAAGTGGGACACCAGAATGATAAGCACATCTGCATCTCTAGCAGCAACTACTACTGTATTGCAGGTGGCATTGATAGCATGAAGGGCAAGTCTGGTGTCTGCTTCTTCATGGTCTACACTCAAAGACAAGGTATCAGTGTAGTATTTCGATGACTGGGCAAACAATTAATTGATAAATCCACTCGCTGTAACAATTTCTTTATCTTCAGTTGCTTGGCGAAGCAACTCTTCTGACAGGAATCGTGCAAGATCTGCTTTCTTTTCTGGCAATGCCAAGAAGTTTGACCAGAACTTTGGAAGAGGGACCAAACCGCTCCCTCTAACTCGGTGAATAGGCCGGCTAGTTTTTTCCGCCTTCGTCTGGTACTAGCTTTGATTGATAGTTGTATATAGCGGTCAAAAACAACGTCGATTCTCTGGATGCATTTACCCATTTGAAGCACTGCTTGAACAAAGGTGTTTGCTAAATCATGAAACGAAGAGCAACCGTCTGGTTTGTCTAATAACACGACTAGAGCCTGACCATCGATGATTAAGCACGCTGTTTTTCCATGAAGATCAATACTCTCTGGACAATTGATGCTACCCGTTAGCTTTTCAATAAGGCCAGACTTGCTTCCAGTCCGAAGAGAACCGCTCATTTCAGTGTAAGAATGAGGAACTGGCATCAATTCATGAGAAAGCACACTCTTAAGATCAACTTCCACGGCCGCCTTTATAAGCAGTGATCAACCGCATGAGGATATTTCGATCGGCCTTGAAAATCGTCTGCTTCTCCTTGTAGTTTGAATTTATTGGAACGTCATACAGGCTTTGAAAGGTAAGCTCTCTGCATCTGTTTAATGGCTCGTTGAAGGATATCATGGGCCCTGTGTCAGACGGTGTCAGTCTGTGTGTGACAAAGCTTAAAATTTGCTACAACAAAGATTCTTGAATTTCTTTACTTGCCAGGTCTTTATTTGCTATATTCTACCACTTGCCAGAACTTTATGTGGTTCGGAGGGTCCCTTGATTGTACCTTGAAGTTTTCTGACTGGCAGTCATTTTGAATATGCAAATTTGCGAATTTCGCTTGGGATCCGCCAAATTCGTAATCAGCATGGTCGAAATACCCCAAATAAACTGGATCCCAGCTTCTCCCCAAAACGCCTCTTGATCTCTTTTTAAGAACTATTTTAGAGAAATGTAACCAGTCAAGTACCTTTCCCAAATGATTAAGTTTTCTTCCATTCAATAAACATATCACCATTTGGTTCACAAATCAGTATTACTTTTTTGCACAGTCGATCTTTGCAAAAAACTAAAAAGCTGCAATAAACAACCTTATTACGATATTTTATGTGGAGCATTCTCTAGACCCAATAAATTAGATGCCTTGTGTAAAAATTATTGTGTTCCTATTGGTTTAGCTTTTGTACACAAAACTTTTACCTTATAACATTTTTGTCCTGTTTCCCAGGTTCCCAGAAAGGAAAATATTCTTTGCAGCTCTGACTTCCAATAATACTTCTCAAAAGGAAAGGAACCCTTCTCAAAAAGCTTTGAAATTTTTTAAAAAAGCTTGTAAAAAAAGGATACTTTTGAAAAGAAAATTTCCCCAAGGAACAGTTTATCTTAAATATTCTTTTCCCCCCTTTTTATTTCAAAGTGTTGCAAAGTCATGTTAGAACTTGTAGTGTCATAGAGTTAGCACTTCATTCAGGGGTCTTTATAACGACAGTTTTTCAATATAAAAGGATACAAAGAAATTTAGTTTATATAGAGTAAAGTAGTTTTACCTAAAACGCTGACAGGATTGGATGAACGCACGAAACAGAAAAGTCACAGTTCATTCGAAGAGTGAAGAATTTTTTTCCTTTTTTGACTTTACAATATAAACCCAGCGAGAGGAGATTGATTGGTCATCTGGCTGGCTTACCTAAATTCACCTACTGTTGGAGATAATTTTTGTTTGTTTCTTTTTGTTCGATTTGATCAACAATTGTTTTACCATAAAATAACTTAGGGCGCATACGACCCCTTGCAAACTTTAACCACACCCCTACTTCTATCAGACTATAACCTTAATTTAGTGTAGCACGAAAAATTATTTGCGACAGTAAAATCTCGAAGGCAAAATACAAACCTCGTGTGGAACATCCCGTTGCCCCTCCTTCTCCATTATGAAGATTTTTGACACGTCCTGAAAGACAAAACAGTTTTTTTGTAAATTTTATGACTTAAGAAAGCTATATTTGAAGGAGTCGTCAAACTGATCATATTTTGAAATCAAAACTATAATACCTCACAGGGTCCAAGGCAGAGTCGTTGCACAAGGGGTGATTTATCCGCAGTTATTCTTTTCACACCTAAAAAACCGGAAGCAACTTTTCAGAGACAAGTTAGATGTGGAGAAATTGTTTTAATTAAATATTTATTAATATTCCTCTTATCATGAGTAAGAATGCAATTTGAAGGTATACCGATACAGACAGCAGAGCAACCGAGGCTCCTTGGAAAAATTTGAGACTGGGCTCTTGTGGGGTTCTTGTAGACGACAAGTTGTCAATCTCAATAGCGAGCAAAAAGCATGCAGAAGTTTTAGAGCTTGGTAAGTTTTAGAAGAGGGTTGAGTTTAGCGAACTCTACTAAAAAAAATGATTTATAAGAAAATTTAAGGGGCTCCTTTGGATCTGAGGCCCTTAGAGATCAAACTAAAGTGACCAAAACTTCATTACAACTGGGAACAGAACCAACAATGAAAGAAAAAGGAATACAAAATGTCTAGTGGGTGAAATTTGGTAAATGATCAATTATCAACTAAAATATGCGATATGAAATCATCCGAAAATTTAATTTGCATTTTCTCCAATCAAATTCGAATTAGGCATACGACTTGAGCACATTGGACTGGACCGTGCTTGTTATATATATATATATATATATATGCAAAAGATGCGTCGATTATTTCAAACCAATTCAATACCAAACATAACGATTCAGAACGATTTTGCTTGCAAATTTTGAACTAACACCTCTCCAGCCTTGCCCTCTTCTGACAGTCAGGTTTAGTTTTTCCTGACACCGGAAAAAGATTATACATAAGATAACTTCCTAGTCGAGTTCTTAAAAGCAAGTTTCAAATTACATTTACATGGTGAAATCCCAGTTGCCAATTCAAAATATACAATCAAACATATGAGACGTACTTTGTTTAAGCATATCAGGCTTTCCAGGCACATTTACATAATACAAGGCTTCTAAAGTCAGCGCACTCAGCTGCTGTAAATATGGACACTGAGGAACTAAAAAGATTGCAAACACAAACCTCCACTTTCGTAAACTGTGCATAAAGAATACTGCGACGGTTTGTTTACAATCTGCAAATGAAAAACACACAGCACCGGATCTAAAAACTTTAATGCTTTGCATTTGCAATAAATGAAGCTGAATAGCAAAACCATGCAACAGAGAATCAAATGTACCCTCGCTTTTAATTTCATGATATGTAACCTTTGGTCACTGAAACCGCAATATTCCAGCGGGTCTCTAGTTACATTGAGAGTTTTTCTGCCCGGAGGATCGAAACTTGAGAACAGTGCTCTGATCTTTAGGCAACAAAAAGGTTAAAAGTATGGTCCTTCAACACGTAGACAGATATTTTTGAAACGCAGATCCTTTTATCCATGTTCATCAACATTCCCATCCGGACCGAGCGAGAAAATATAGAAAAAAGAAAAGGGTATGGTCATCACAAATTTTGCTCAACACAGCAAAAAGAGAAAAGAAGATATCTGACGAAAAGATGTCAAATTCGTTGGAACTGAAGCTGGAAATAAACTTAAATTGCGATAGAAAAAAAGCTCCACTGTGAAAGGAAAGTATAAATAAAAATTTGTCGATAAAAGGGGGCTTCATACCTGGAATTTTCTTAGTAGCATACCAACCACGTCGTCTGTTTTCATGTTGCTCGTAACTCTTAGAGTGGTCGGTACGCCGTAAGGAGGAACAAACGAGGTTTGCTGAAAACGGATTTAAAAATAAAATGGAACGAGGATTAAAGAAACTATGTAAGAAATATCCAGTTGAGTTATCGAGAAAATCTAGAACCTTCTATAATGACCTCAAGAAATAGAAATTTCAACTACTTTAACGGATTGAATAAATCTTTCTTACTTTGTTTTAGATATTCTTTTATAAAAATATCTACTGCACCTTGATGCCCAGTGCTCTTCGTATACGATAATAAACTACCTGGCCGTCACTTGAAGATTTTATGGTAGATACTTCAGATTTTACAGGCATGCAGATTCATTAGCCTTCAGTTGCCGCGGCATTTAACACCCGGTGAAGTGTAGAAATACATGGGAAGACAACGTCTGTCAAATTTTCATTTCTTCAAGAAATCTGGCAAGAAGCTTACATAGATTACGATTCCCTTAACTCGGTAGCATCTTCTCATTTATAAATTTCATAATCCTGAAAATAGTAAAACTAACTGAAAATGAATGCTTGTGATCAGCTGATAGTGTTTTTAAAGCATTCACCACACGAAAGCAAAGCATAGTGTTTGAATAATACTCATAAATTCAAAGCAAATAAATACTTAATGAATTGAAAATCAAAAACTCTTGCAAGAAACCAATTTCCGTGGTCCTCTTGTTCTCTATTTTTCACTTCAGCATGCCCCATCAAGTGTTTTCCCCCAAGATCTACCCCAGTGCTCTACCTAATCACATAGTTCCTTTCAGATCTAGCACTTTGGTCATCTGAAGCAAAAACTTAGTCTTCAACCTTAACGCCCTAAATTCTAGTTAGGAAGCTAAAAAATAAAGAGAAAACAAAGAAAAAAGCATAGAATAGAAAAATCAAGTGACCAAGAAAAATAATGTTGTTAATAAATTGGCACTTAATCCTTTTGTTTCAACAAACCGTGTACCTCAGTTTTTTTCTGCGATCCTTTGTAACAAAAAACTTCGTTGTTATTAGCTTGCTTCTGCGATGAGCTTATAGTTGGAGCTTGAAAGGAGTTCTCTGCTTTTCTTCCAACCTTCCGTCTAAAATGATTTGGCTTTTGGGGAAACTGCCAGAAAAGATTGATGTGCTAAATAAATATCAAAGAACCGAATCATTCTTATTCTATACAAATAAAACTCTACAGCAAAGGCAAATGTTAAATTACAAGTTACAAAGTAGTTGGCAATTGGATAACGGTACTCACATTTTCTGAAAAAGATCCATCATCATCAACAGGATGAAAGCTCCTCCAATATGAAAAATCGTTCGCCTTTAATTCCACAGGCTTTTTCAGGCCCCAATACACTTTCAATGTTCCTTCCATAATGAAATTTCCTTCATCCTGAAAAGTTGCTTGCTCATTACTTAACTTTCTTCGCAATGAAGCTACAAGTCAAAATTCCCCACCCTTTCCCTTACTCAACCTATTAAGATTAAAAAACTCACAGAAATGCCTGCAAGAAAACCGGTCTAGGTACAATACCTAGAAGCCCTACCTCTCTGCAGAAGATTTGAAAAGGTCTGCCAGAATAGTAGGTGTTGTATGTTCGTAATTTTGGTATGAGTGAATTCCTGAAAACAGAATAATTTGAGGCTGAGAAGTTAAATACCAACATGCAAACAATCTTCTAGTGGTACAAGACTTGAAAGTGGCTTTGAAAAAAGCAAACATTTGAGTAAACCAAAGCTTTTCGTCTGACACTCTTCTCAGTTTAAAACGTCAGAATATAGATAGAAAACTTTACGCTAGGCAATATATATACCCAGCTGTGGATCGAAATAGGCCAATCAGAAACGCGAGCACATGACAATTGAGGTTGCCCAATCAGTGCCGCTTGCCTATAGAGAATGTTACCAATGGAGTCCTAAGGTGAAACTCCTTTTGTCTAAACAATAGCAGTTTTTTCGTGTCTATGTAGATAGATTCCAAAACTGCTAGATGGAACGACGTTCTGACGGAAAGATAACTGCTAGTTGGAACGATATCTATGTTCTGACGTTTTAAACTCTGAAGAGTGTCAGACGAAAAAGCTTTAGTTTACTGAAATGTTTGCTTTTTTCGAAGAAATTTTTAATACTGATATAACAAATGCTAAGCACGGATTCAAGACGGATGCACGCATTATCTTTTGCAGAATTGCCAATACAAACTTTTTAGAATTTTATTCCGATCTTCTATTACTAAAGAGGTAGATGGGGTCATTTACTTTCATTAAAAATGTTTAATTTTTTTGAAACTGTAAAGTTGAACTGATCTAATTGTATCGTAAATTGCATACAAAACAGTAAAAGATTAGCCCTCCCCCAGTACTCTATGCCCTGTTTTCCAAGTGCCGGCTTGATAATTACGATAAAATATCACCCGCATTAAAAAGGCTATCAAGATAACACATAAAAACTGTAATCAGAGATTCGTTAAAACTTTTCATTATTAGTTACGTGCTAGAGCAAAATGTTGAGGCAAACCTGACACGTTGCTGCTCCGTAGATAGTCCATCGTCAAAATCCCCCTGGCGATTGCTTTCCTTGGCAAACTTTGATTTCAACGAACTGAAGAGCATGGTATAGCAAGGAACGTTGCAGTATGGTTGGGCTTGATGCTAAAAATTAACATCAAGACTTCTATTTTCATATTAAAAAGAATATCAAAAAATTAGCTGTGTTACTGCGTGACTTCAAAGTACGACAGAAAAAAAAAGAAATGCAAATTGACCATTGATAAAAATAGAAAAGTACGTTGGCAAAATAAAAAATGTCAATTAACAATTAACAAAAAAAGAAAAGTACGTTGACAATAAGCAAAAAAAAGTATTGTACATTGACAATAAGCAAAAAAAGAAAAGTACCTTGGCAATTAAAATAAAAAGAAAAGTACATTGACAATAAGCAAAAAAAGAAAAGTATTGTACATTTACAATAAGCAAAAAAAGGAGATTTTCATTTCGATATAAGAACATCAAATAACAACTTTGAAACTTAGATCTCATTTGAAGGGATCAAAATTTTGAAAATAAATTGCTTGATGTAGAAGTTACACATCACTAAGCAGCATCTCAAATATGCAGGAAACATACAAACGTAAGACAGGACAACAACGCAGCTTCTTTTAAATGAAAGAGTTACGAACAACTCATATTTCGTAACTCAGACACTATTTCATAGTTCACATCCATGATTTTTTAAGAACTGTTGTGCTTAGAAATGTACAATATCTTACAAAATAATTCATGTACCGTCCTTTAAAAGAGCTTCATTTCTTAATCCGGCAATAAGAAATTGTGCAAGAGACCAAACAGGAAGTATTTTCTGATAAGTTAGAAACTAACACTGCATTTTGCCATAGATTGTTGTTATTCTCTCAGGGTGGTAAATGATCGGTATGGTATCTTTCTGTCATATTGTTGCTGAACCAGGGTCTGAGAGTTGAGATAGAAGATTACGTTGGATGAGAGGGTACTGATAAGTGGATACTTGGAGTAACTTTGAGCTTACTTCAGAATAGTATCCGGCACTGAGACTCCTTCCACATTCTTCGCATCTTCGACAAACATCTTGCAAAGCTTTTCCCTTGGCTTCACTGACTTTATTTCCAGGTCCATCAGCTGCTGCACAGAAAATAGGGGGTGCATACTTGACACAGGTGTGACAAAATGACTTTCCAGGTTGGAAGAAACAAATAAAAAAAGGAAAGCATAGATAATTTTCTGGTTTGCTGAAAGGGGATAATTTTGTCTACATCCTAATGAGCAGACCACCCAAAATAAGGAACTGTTCGATGAGGCTTTTTCTATCGAGCTACTAGGTCTCGGTTTTATTTGTTTATGAACCAAGCCAAACCTGTTAGCAAACTGCCAATTCTCCACGTCCATATCTCATAAAGGCTTTTTCTAATTTAACTTACTGTGCACTTTCAAAGCTATTTATGGTGTAATTTCAGGCTACGTGCTCGAAAGTGCTAAAAGCATCTTTTTCATGGCGTTAAAGAAATATTACTTTCAAAGCCGTAAGCTTAGAACAAAGAAAAGTATAGTAAAACATTCAATTCTAAGAAGCTCACAGCAGCTCTTCGCAGATGAATTATACAACAAATTTGATTAACGTTGAATAAATGAAACGAAAGAAAACATTTTCTAAAACGCATTTAGCATGAATGAAAATATCAACAGCAGTTGTTTTATAGAACCCTTTTACAATATGGCAACTCCAGATGGACGGGCGAATCTTTTCATGTCGTTCGAAAAATTAAAATTCAATCCAATGCTTCACATAGACCGGGAATTTTGTAGAAAAAACTAGCAAACTGCCTAACCTCGAATTTCATTTCACATTCCAAGTATATCTACCATGGAAATTTCAAATCTAAGATGGCCCAAAAAGATTTATACCGGAAGTTACTTGTTTTTAATGATATCGAGATGTAAATATCTGAAAAAAATATTGGAATCACCCAATATTGTAATTCAAAAGCCGAATGTAGCAGGATTATCATCGGTCCCTCCGCTGTCAACAGGATTATTAGCAATATCACTGTCAAGCGATTGTATCAGAAAAGCAGACAGAAGCTTGTTATTTCTACTGATTCTAATTAAACACATTTGATTCTGATTTTTTTTCTTTCTTCATAAAGCCAGAGTGTTATTTTCTTCAAGATTTCTTGTGACCGTAAACTTTTTGAAAAAATTTCCTGTGAAATTACTTTGGATTTGTGATTTAAAAACCTCAATAATGCGATAAAATTATGTTGTTGAAGACAAAAGGAGTCTCATGAGTAAAATATGAAAGTACAGATTTTATCAGAAATGTTTTGCCATATTTATAATCAGAACTGCAAATAGGTTTCGGAGTTCCTAGGACAAAGCCGAAGGTCAAGGCCCCCAGTGAGCGGAGGGAACAGAAAATATTTGTCACCAAGCCCTTAAGATTAGCTTAAAATGCATTTTAGAATATTTCTTGCAGTCATTTCTTGCAAATTTTTAACATCTTACGTTCTTACGCATACTTCTGCTACAATTGATTAATTCAATTCCTAACATCGTGCAATCAACCCTGAGGCCCCCTGGGGCATTTTGCCAATCAACCCCCCTTTCAGCAGCCCCACTTATAGTGGATGCTATTGTCAAAACTCTTTCAAAGGGTTGGCAAAGAAATGTGGAGCATTGCCATTCTTGCATCAATGAGCGAACATTAAAATGGCAACTCCCGCGTCTTGATAAATAAAGCGATTTTATGAAAGACTCATACCAAAAACTGTATCTTTGTACAAAGGAGAATTATCTGTAGTGTTACAAGTCGGAAATTCTTGCAAAAATACACCTGTGATACGAGATGTTGGTTCTTTCTTTATAGCCTGCATTTAAAAAAAATCTCAAACACTAATAACGGTATGGGTCGTAATGACATATCAGTAGTGACATAATTTGTTACTTTTTGCAACGAAAGCTGATCCCCTTGAGCTCTCTCAGCACAGTATTACTTTTCGAAACATAGTTTTGATCTTTTTCAGTGTAATGAGTTGATTTATTCTGAGCATTTAGATTCCTTCCAACCTGCTTAACTTGTATAAAACTTTTCTATTATTCATCCATGGTTGAGAAATTTCCTGTGAGAAAAATATTCTAACTGATTTCCTGTGACCAATGGTCACACGGTCACGGGGAAAATAACGCCCTGCATAAAGCGTGGATAATCCTCCTGTGACGTGATCCATTTCAAATATTTTGATCATATCATATCTTTTATGAGCAATTTTAGATGGTCTGGATGGCTTTGTAAAAACCGTCTGGCCATTCCCCAGCCCATCCTTCCCTCTTTTGCTTTTACATTGGTATATTGGCTTGCAATCCTCTTGACAGACTTGTCATCTCCAATGGAAACAACATGTTAGGTCATGAAATCAGATCAGTTAGGTGATGAAATCAGAAGACAAACTTGCATATTTTATTTGTCTATTTGACCCAATTGTAGACATATTTTGAATGCAAAGAGTATTTTGACTTTGGTTTGCAAATATCTGGCCACAGTACAGCCTTTTTCGACTTTACCAAACCATCCTGGACGAAAGTAGAAGGGCAAAGTGACTTGGAAATACAGGCAAAATATTTTGCAAATGCATGATGAGTGATGACTGATATTGAAACATTACTAAACTTATAAAATCTCAGACAAGAGCAGAAGAAAAAAATGTAGCACTTACCAAGACAAGGTGTTCCTGGTCTACTAAAAGTATATCCTCTTCCACCTGACAGAAAAAACCCTTTTACAAAAGCTACAGCTTACAGTCAATTTGATTGAAAGTGATGTTGTCTTCTTTACAATAAAATGATAGATTCTGGTATAAAAAGTAGATGATTGTTAAAGTTAAACAAACAGAAATGGGGCAATTATTCCAATTTTGCCTATGGGTTTCTAAATGAAACTTGGACTCCAAATATTAGCTCCCAAATCTGTATGATCAGAATAGTTGTTACCTTCCAACTTTCAATACTACCTGAGATCATGTGATGGTATCTACAATCAGTGGGAATCATTTCATTAGCCCCAAAATGACATTTTTGAAAAGCAAGCTCAAATGTGCTCCTCAAAAGGTGTCCATTCTGAAAGTTTTGGAAACTTCTTTAAATAAAGTGGTAGAGTGTGACATCATCAAAAACTATTTTCAGAATTTAAGATATCTGACTCCATAACCTGAAAAAACACAACAAATGAATCTAAATATGCAAAATCAGTTGATTTTTGTGACATCATCACTCCACCACTCTATTCAAATGTATATTTAAAAATATCAATGTAAATTTTTGCATATCAATGTAAACACAGTTTCAAGCTACACACTTTTTTATCAAGTTGTAAGTCTCAAACTTGATTAATTATAATGTACTTAAATCTACTTACTTCCTCTAAGCCTATTTTTAAACAAGTCTCCACTTTTCTTTTTTTCTTCAATTTCTCTTGCTAACTTCTTTGCCTCCAACAGCAAGTAAACTGCTTTGGTGTATTTTGGCTCAGGGCATGGTGAACTTGTTGCTGTTGTTTTTTTGCATTCATTTGATTTTGGCGAGTCTGGCTTTTTCTTAACAGAATTTTCATATGAAGAGTTAAATGTATGAGACCTTTGTACTGCTGCTTTTCTTTTCTTCAATTTTGCAGCACTACCAGTCCTTTCTGCCTTATCTTTACTTTGTGTTGGCATCATAGCACTAAGTAAATAAGAAGTAATAATTAAAACAAAAAAATCATTTTTCTATAAGCTTTAACCATTAAACTTGAAGCAACAGATACCTTTTACAAACCCAGAAGTAAAACAGTTTTAGGTAGAAATGGTTCAAGAAAGTAATTGCCAAAACAAGGGATGTAATTTCTGTAGCAAAACATATCTCAGTTCTATGAAAAGGCATCAACAGGATGGGTAGCAGACATTGAGAGACTTGAGAATGTTGACCAAATTACCAATCAACAGTGGATTCTACTCAAAATAAGGCATTCTTAAGTATCATACCTTCAGGGAAGGATTTAAGCAACAATGATTTGGGGGTGCTAGACAATAATTGGATCTAGGTGCCACACCCTTCAGATCACTGGTAAATGATGGAAACGTCGATTTTTAAAATTTTGTTCTTAACTTCAAGGCAAAAAAGATGAGAAGCAGTGGGGTAGCCAGGGTTGGAAAATTGGAGGGGAAACATGGAGAAAATTTTTGCTGTCCACACCCATGAGAATTTGGGAAAACGCCCCATTTTCAAAATGCGTTTGGAAAATCTATGGATTTTTTTACATGGCAATGGTTGGCTAATCAAACACAATAACCGTCAGATGTAGCTATGTGTGGCCAACCCCATTCTTCAACTGTCTATTTACTTCACAATTCCTCTGACATTTATATAGTCTGATTTTTTGTAAGGCAAAGAAGCTCAACATGTAAAAACTGATTTTCTAAAGTAGCCAGAAAATAATAAACAGTATTCAAAAGTTTCAACTAAGTATGTTCTCCTTGGAGCAAAATTTGCAAAATCCCTGACAAGCATTTCAGAATCAGGTTTTAAAGATTGAAGCATTTTAGCATTTCCAAAATGGTACTGCCCAACTATCATTAACATATAATTATAAAACATGGATGATATATATAAGTGGCCCTGAATCTATGACCTGTTGATAAGCTGAAAGTTACCCTCCTTAAAAAAAGTTGGACAACCCTGGTTCTATAGAAAAGAAATTTGCAATTTATTTATCTCTAACGCAGAAGATTCTGATCTAGCAAATCCAGTCACTCTCGTTTTTGTCATCGCTTTATAAAATCAAATAAATTTTTGCTGAAGCAAAACAGTGAAAACGATGCTTCGGTCTCCATATTTGATTCTATTTTACCAGAAGCTCCGCAGTTTTCTGCGTTATAATTAGAAGCAGATTGTTTAACGCTCGTCCTCTTATTTGGAAATGATTGCTTTTATGAAGATACAATACCACTTTTGCATTTTGAAAACTTGTGGCAAAATGTTTATCTAGAATGCGTTGGCACACTTTATTTGGTAAACAGAAGGCTATCTTGCGCAACCCAAAAAAATTTCCTGTTCATAATAAATTGTAAAGCAAAAATCTTTAGGCATACCTATAATGAAGTACAGAGCCTATATCCCTGCCATTAACCATTTTTTCTCTGCAAATCGAAATTTATCAACGACATGTCAATGTCGCTCATAAATTCAAATTCGCTGTTTCCTTAATAAAAGCATTCCAAGAGATAAGAACAAACATATTTTGGTAGAGAATAAAAACCTTGAATATAAATACTAAACTGTACTTACTGTGAAGAATATATATCAACAAATGTAACTACAATTCAGTTCCTTCAGTCGAGAAAATTTTCTCCTGTACCCGGTAGGGAGAACGGAAACCAAACATCGTCCCCTCGTCCACGCGAACAAATGAAAACGAGGCAAACCCTGCCTTTTACGTCATTTCGATTTTTTTCGATTACGTCATGTGAATGATATGTACAATACCGGAAATGACGCTTCCTTTATTTATAATTCACTATTCTCTTTTTGAGCTTTATCTTATACCATCGTCCTTTGATTTTATGATCTTGGTCCCTGGTTTTCACTATGACCATAATTCTTTTCTTTCCGCCTTCATATCTAAACCATATACTGCAAAACTATCATTTGTCTTCTAACATTGATTTTGTGCATACGGTGTCATCAGAAAAATTCGAATTACATCACGGGACATTTTTAAGGTACTAAGCTCTTATGTCCAATTTTATTACTTCCATGCGGACGTTAGCTTTCTCCAGATTCTCTCGTGTAAATGTATGCTTGATTTAATTTTGAGTTTTTAGGGACATTCCATGTGCCCATGCGAAGCTTTGGGCCGCTTTTTAGGGACCGGGGTGCCCATGCGAAGCTTTGGGCCGCTTTGTTGATCCTTTTTCCTCTACCATACAGCAGCCTCTTTCGAGGCAGAATTTTCAAAAATGTGCGCTGAAAAAACTTAAATTTTCAGGCTTGTCGCAATAAGCCGTTATTTGAAAATAAAAATGATGAATAAATAGTTTAGCTTGGGTTCACGGCCGCTTTAAGCGCCCATGGTGGGGTTTAGTGTGCTTTCAGCGCTTGTTGCACCTGGAAACCTGTTGCACCTGTTGCAGGTGCGAGGATGGCTCAGTTGTTAGAGGCGCTGACTACAGACTCAAGGGTCCGTGGTTCGAGTCTCTGGCATGACCAAACTTTCACCCAGAGTGGGGAGAGTCGCCAGCGCTCTGTAATTCCAGGCGTAGGAATCACGAGGTGTGGTCACATCGAGAGGAAGGACCAGGACACCGCTCGTTAAGCATAGCTTCTCAGTGTCCTAAAAACTACCTTCGGATGCTAGGTAGCAACAAATACAAATACAAATACAAATTACAAATGGAAACTAGAACATAACTGAATGTCTTGAAACACCCATTCTATGTGCTTTCATGATCCTTAATACAGGCATTAAAAGCACTTTTTCACCATACAGTTGTGGAATCGAAGCTGAGCACACTAAACTACGCGGAGACGCCAGAGCCCATCTTGGAGCGGAGGTCTCTATACGATTCCTATTGTAGCTAGTTATTAAGACAATCCTAATATAGAATTTTAGTCATTTCTTACTGTTGAGAACACACCAAGTTGGAACATGGCTTAATAGCTCGTTTTGAGTTATTTTCCTTTATCCAACAGCCTACAAGTTTTATTCCCATTATGTCATTTTTAAATAAATTTCTCATAACTCTCAGGCTGCGTTGATAGGATGACGGATAACTGACGATCTGGATTGATCGTGTTTACACGGCGCCGTACAACTTTTGATACTAGTCTGGCTGAATTAGATGAAAATTATGGTTAACCTAGAATTAAATGCTACATTAGGAAACTTTATACCATTCGAATCGAAATTTAATGAAGAATAACATACTGAGAGCCTCATGCTGAGGTCTTTGGGCAAAAAAAGTTATAACCGCTAGTTTGGAAGGGGGTTTTGTCAACAATTTGTATGACTTTCGATATTTAGCTGCGAACCCTTCTGTTGAAAAGACATTATATACCTTAAACTGCATATTGTAGACAGTTCAAACTTTGCACCAATACTTTGAAATATGTCACGCTTGATCCGATAAGTTTAAAAACAACATGATGACGTCATCAGTGACGTCACCACTATCGAACATATCGGGGCTAGTACTAATGAAAAGTAGAAATCGTAAAGCCAAGGTTTTCAACGCTGGAAATGTAGCCTAATAAGTAGCTACTGATAAAAAATATCATAAAATTTCAAAGATGTCTGTGGCATCATCATTGTCATGATCTTCTAACTCGGATATGGGTTTTGCTGAATTTTAACAATCTTCACCGTGGCAGCTTCCGCATGCTGTTACACAAGTCAGGCCGTTCTTCTGGCAAGAGCACGAAAGGGTTCCACATGGATGCTTCGTATTCGTTTTGCATCTGCAACGAACAACCTGAAGCAGCCATTCTGGAGCAGGATCAAGGTCGGTTTTGATTGGTGTCATAATACCGTCTTCCATTTTCCATCCCTAGTCTTGCGGGTTTAAACAGCAAAGATCTAAATGCTTCCACTGTGCTACCTGGAAGTTAAAACAATTTTTGGGAATTGATTTCATATTGTGAATGTTTCATCATGAGAACCAATATATCCGTATCTTCTGCCATCACAACAACACATCTACCAGTTTCTGTGTACTCACGGGCAGTCTTCACAATTGAGATATCCGCGTCTCCATTACTTTGAACTGCGACAAACCTTTCCCTCTCTAACCGAGTACAAAGCAACTTAATCAACCTTTCCTTGTTATCTATGTTCGCCAGAAATGCTTCCCTGCTACAAGTAACTTTTGAGCTTTCAGTGATTTCAATGCTAGCTGACGCTTTGCTCATTCGACGAAGATGCTCCTGACCTTTTGTTGACTTTCTGTCTGAGTATCCATCAAAAACAACGCTTACGCAAGTGTACTTCCCAAATCTTTGCTTTACAAATGCAGTGTACTGTTCAAGCACTTCAGAATACGTTGATTTTGGCCAGTGGACTTTGTGGAGCAATGCACCACCATCAACCACGCAAACGTCATTTGTAGTCGGGATAGTTGCATTCTCTGTACCCAGTAAGTGATTTCTAAGAACAGCTTTAGTCGATTTTCTCATCATACCTTGTTTAAAGAGAGACGTCGGCTCTGGAGTTAGCTCATAGCAGAAGTTTTCAAAAACGTTATTTTGGAAGTTAGCCAAGGCAGTCAAACGACTAAATTTTCGTCTTAGGTAAGAGGACTTCAAATGTTTGAACTCTTTCTTTTCACTTGATGCTCGCATCTTCCATGTTCCTATTACCAAGTTGGTTTTGAATATTTCGTCCAACATTCTAGCAATCAAGCCAGTTGAAAGACTTTTAAGATGTTGCCCGTCTTCACCAAAAGGGTTGTGGCGATCAAACCATTCTTTGATTAACGTAAGATCTTTATTGTCTCGAGACACTCTGCTTGGGCCTAACTGAACATGCTGTTCACTTGTTTTCCTATATGCGCCAGTCAATTCACTCATTGCATTGTATGTCTGCACACCTATGGATACTTCCGATCCATAACTGGCGAGTAGATTCCGAAATACCTCTTCCTCGTGTCAGGCCACCGTTGCTCTTCAATGCTCTCATCATCACTTGTTCAATGACCAAATCCGTCTATAAGCCTGACCAAAATCGCTCACTGCGCCTGACAGTGTGCAGATTGCCTCTTGCAAACTGATCATAGACCCAAGGATGAGAGCTTTCCAAATCAAGCATGTCATGTAGATGCAATCTTGCACATTTAGCATAGTTAACATGGGCTGTAGCAGCAAATAAGTTCAGCATTTTGTTCAAAGACACCAAATGCAAATTCCAGTCACCAATTCTCTCCGCACGAATAAACATTTTTACCACGGCGATGTAATCCAAATATTGCAACCATAACTTTGATGTCCGAAACGTTTTAGCGAGGTCCTTTTTGTACTCTTCGAGATTGAACGTAAGCTTTGAGAGGGTTGGGCATCGTTGCATATTGATGTCACAGTGATGCTTTTCTCTGAATTCATTTTTCAATTTTTCCAAATCAGAGCACAAGTCCTCAATCTTTACAGTCGCTTCTTCAAAAGTAGGACGATCCATCTCTTCACAACTATCACCATTTTCTTGTCCAGATGCAATCAATGGTGTCATTAATTTGCAAACCAATGCAGACTCGATAAGGAAATGTCCTCTAAGCGCTCTCGGCTCAGCCTTCCCAGAAAGGATATGAGGAACTGTGGTCTTCCCATTAATTTCCCCTCCAAAATTAGACCCAGGCCCCTTGTATTTGTAAAGCTTTATAGCTATTCAAAGTGTCATATCATTTTTACAAGTCCCTAACAAGCCCCGATGTGTTCGATAGTGATGACGTCACTGGTGACGTCATCATGTTATTTTTAAACTTTGTTTGATTAAGCGTGACATATTTCAAAGTATTGGTGCAAAGTTTGAACCGTCTACAATATGCAGTTTAAGGTATATAATGTCTTTTCAACAGAAGGGTTCGCAGATAAATATCGAAAGTCATACAAATTGTTGACAAAACCCCCTTCCAAACTAGCGGTTATAACTTTTTTTGCCCAAAGACCTCAGCATGAGGCTCTCAGTATGTTATTCTTCATTAAATTTCGATTCGAATGGTATAAAGTTTGCTAATGTAGCATTTAATTCTAGGTCGGGCCACAATTCGACCAGACTATACGGAGAGATCGATGAAACTCTCCTTGCACATTCTCAAGGTTTCAATCCATGGAGCCTGTGGGATCTAGGTCCCCGGCCCAGAATCTAAGTGGCCGTGCTAAAAGGCAGTGTACTTAATGGGAACTCGTTGCATCCACGTCGTTTGGGGATATACAGCTATTCCAATCTAAGATTATTTAAAACCGGCAGATTTCTGAATAATTTCCCATGAAATATTCGAATTTGGTCAATACATAAAATTAATGCCAAAGAAATTTGCAAAAAATGAAGTAAAATTTTCCCCTTCACATTTAGAATCAACTTTATCTTCAATCATTGATATAATAAATACAAATTTTATTATAGAAATATTTTGGTGGTACAAAACTTGAAAATGGCTTTGGAAAAAGCAAACATTTAATTAAACTAAAACTTCTCGTCTGACACTCTTCAGAGTTTAAAACGTCAGAACATAAATCGAAAACTCTACGCTAGGAAATATATATAGATATCATCTTTCATGTGTTCTTTTGACATTAGAAGTCTTTTCACAAATGTTCCTTTGAGTGAGACCCTCAAAATATGTGTCGATGCTTTGTACCGGAGCGAGCTTAAGGGAGTGGTCATTAAGTATGTGCTATACTGGGGCGGAGGGTATTTGCATAATGCTTAAAAAATTGAATCCTCTTCTAACATTTTAAATAAAATGTTTAATACCCCTACAAATTTATGAAAGTTGTTTCACACCCCATCTTGGCTCTTACTGACGACATTTGGCCTTTCTCCCATCAAATTGGTCCCTGCTTGTAACTTGTTGCGCCACACGAAAATAAGCTGATACAAAAGGATGACTCTTGCCAGCCTCACTATCATTTTATGTACACTGTATTTGTATTTGTATTTGTTGCTACCTAGCATCCGAAGGTAATTTTTAGGACACTGAAAGCTATGCTTATCGAGCAGTGTCTTGGTCCTTCCTCTCGATGTGACCACACCTCGTGATTCCTACTGGCGACTCTCCCCACTCTGGGTGAAAGTTTGGTCATGCCAGGGACTCGAACCACGGACCCTTGGGTCTGTAGCCAGCGCCTTTAACAATTGAGCCATCCTCGCACTGCACACTCATATCTAAAAAGATAGTTTTTCTGCAACACAAATTTAAACTTTAGGATTAACAAGAAATCATGATTGATAATTACTACAAATATCGACTTCAAACGTGCTTCTAGCTTCTAGGTGTAAATGACTGTATACCTAAAAATGCTTGGATAGTGAATGCTTTGCACACATGGTAGGAAGACAATAAGTGATCCAGAAAGTATAGCTTCTGACGAAAGGGGGCTGGGGGCTATAGCCCCCTCACTTTTTTGCAAAACAATAGAGCCTTATTTGTTATGGGTATTAGTTTTAGCCCTGGTACCCCTCCCTCCCCCCACTTTCCAACACGTGTCAAATCCCATGGACAGCTCGAGATAAAGATGGAAAAAGTAAAAATTGAAACAAGAAAGTAGACTAACGAACTCCTTTGCTCAGTAGTCAGTTGCCATCCTTTCCCCTTCGCTCCGTGTTGTTTCTTCACCGATCCACTTTCTTCACCCAACTCATTGTCACTGCTGTTGGGAGAATCTTTCATATCTGAACAATCAGAGCTTGATGCTACTGTACTATTTTCCAAAACAAGGTCCCCTGCGCTATCATCAAAATCAATCAAAGAGTGTTCATCAGATTCCAAACAATGCTGGTCTGCTTGGGATCAATTTACAACTAGTAAAGTTGTTGAAGCTATATGTGCTTTAATCAGAGGCGGATCCAGAGCAAACTTGAAGGAGGGGCAGTTGGTATTGGAGGGAGGAGGGACGATGAAAATTTTTAAAAAATTGGAGACGAGAGTACGCTCTATACAACAATTTCAGATCCATTTTCGGAATAAACAATATAACTTTGAAGTAATCCTTGAAGCAAATTAACCTATTTGTCTCAGAAACTTTTTTACCTGTTTCTCATTCTTCGAAAGGGGCGCACAATTTCCAAAAAAGGGGCGCCACATTTGCTTCAACTCGTCGAGGGAGGGGCAACTGCCCCTAGTTGCCCCCCTTAAATCCGCCACTGGCTTTAATGAAAAGAATTTTTTCCCTTTTCTTCAGCTTGAGAGATTTACAAAATTTATGGTAGTAGAGATACTTGTCAAATTCATTCACTTTTAACTTGTGTAAAGATCCATCATTGAAAAGCGTCATCCAGTCAAAGCACTTGTAGGTCCTACTTTTCTGTTCTGTCAGGTATATTTGCTTTTTCTCAGCCTTTTTTTGTTTGTTGATCTCCAGAATTTGCAAATATTCTATTTATTGCTTTAACAGAACCTTATCAACATTAAACCTCCTGCTAAAACTCTCAATATCCTCCTCTGATGATACAAATGATACCTCCACGTATACAAATGATACCTCTGATGATACCTCCACGTAAAAAGTCCTTGCACTGTCTTCGGGGCTGAAAATAATCAACTGCTCAAACTTTCCCATCTACCTCTACTGGAGTCTTGAGCACATCCAAGTAATGCAGCCATTTGCATTATAATTTTGACAGGACCAACCCAGTCAAACTCAGCTCAATGAAAGCATGGGGAAGCAGAGCATGAATGTCGCAAAAACTCAATATATTTTTCCCAAATCTCAAAATAATGTGCTCCTGGTAAAGACATTTTGTTCTTCTCAGATGCAGCTAAGTATTCTTTAAGGTTTAAATGGTTGCTGAAGAAGAGGCCCTGCAGCACCATCTTTTCGAAGAGATAATTCATCACATACTTATTAATCAAAAATCAACATACATACAGATTTAATCAAAATCAACAAATGAAGGTTTCGAGAAGAAATCGAAGACCACGCCGATTCTGGGAAAGATCTGGCAGAACTAGACCTGAGAACCAGTGCATAGTAGGACAAATTCCAGCAGAATGAAGTCGTGCCTGAAGAATGGGAGGAGAACTTCCGAAGCGCAGCTTTTTAGAACTGTGTTCTGAACTTCAACCGTTTATCGAATAACAAGATGCGCACACCGATTTCAGTTGAAACCCAAGTAGCTGTGGCATTGCATTACCTCTCAGATGAGGGAAGGTATCAGGCCCTAAAATAAGCGTGGATCTGACTCACTTTGTGGAGTTGTAAGTTTAAATTGTTGATTTGTATTTGTAGAAAATGTGGCTTTGTAAATAGTGCATTTTCTTACAAGTGTAGCATACAATACCAATCGAAACGCCTAAAATAAAATAATTCTTTTCAACATAAAGTGCATGCTCAAACCCAGCCTTATGTATTGCACTCATCTTTTATAAGAAAAATGTAGGACTTATTCTTTGTAGTCGTTAATTGCTAACGTGTGAATGTGGAAAAGCGGCAAAGGGGATAAATATCTAAATGGATTAAATTCGCTCGTGTCTGACAAAGTTTTGCCCAAGATTGGGCGTTCGCAAATGTTTTTATACAAAGAGATGTACAATTACGTGTACAAATTACCAAAAAGTGTAGCCCAGGCACCTATTTTGGACCAGGTAAAAACCAGCAACAAACATTGGGAAAAAGCAGCTGTAACTTGATTTTTTAGATTAAAGATACATTTTACTTTCTTTGAAGCATTGGAACGTTCTTAGAAATAATGATACTTCGACAAATGTGAATAACACGACTGCGTTTATTGTATCAAACGTATGATGTAATATTTGGTGTGGCTATAGCCAGTATACTTTATTTTTTGGGTACAAATGAAAAGCCCCCATGATGAAATAGACCATGTCCTCTACTATCTCGTGCAACGCAGAACCCCTCTGCCAATCAATTCCAATCAATCAAATCTGCAAAACCTGCCTCCCCCTCCCTTCCTCCCCTCCCTTCCTCCCCTCCCTATCACTCCCCCTTCCTTCCCCTCCGCTTCCTCCCCTAACCCTTCCTCCCATCCCTTCTCTCCCACTACGATCCCTTCCTCCCCCCTCCCTTCTCCCCTCCCTTCCTCCCTTTCTCCCCTCCCTTCTCCCCTCCCTTCCTCCCCTCCTTCCCCCCTCCCTTCCTCCCTCCCTTCCTCCCCTCCCTTCCTCCCTCCCTTCGCTCCCCTCCCTTCCTCCCTCCCTCCTCCGCCTCCCTTTCCTCCCCTCCTTCCTCCCCTCCATTCCTCCCCTCCCTTCCTCCCCTCCCTTCCTTCCCTCCACCAATCCCTCAAATCAACAACAACAACAGCAACAACATCAACAACAGCAGCAGTTCATCTGCGTTCATTCATCATGCTGACAACAACATCGGAGCGAAGGGGGAAAGCACAACGACCACAATGAGCAGGCTAGGATTCAGAGAAATGAAGAGGGCTTCCTGCACGTTTTGCACCAGATTTCGGTCCTCTTTTTTGGTAAGAAAAATATTCTAAAAATGTAGGATTTTTATTTTCGTTAAATGAATTCGCTTATTTTTTATATGCGCGAAATGAAATTGGCTTGGTATTGCTAGAAAGCAGTCAGCTCAATGTAGCCCCTAGCTGGTGTCTTGTTCTTTCAAATATCTGTAGCGCAAAGCAGCAGATCTTGGAACAAATTAAATATTGAATAGAAAGACAAGAAAGGCAGAATCCCTAACGAAACATGTATTTTCAGGGCTAGCGCCAAAAGGTTACGGTAAACGTTTTTGACACGATATTTGGTTTTATCTCCCTAAAAGCCAAACCATTTACGAAATCAGATTACACTATACATCATTCGATGCACAAGAACTTGGCGATTCCAACCATATCCAAATAATTTTGTAAAATGATACTTTCCAGGCAAATTTATTGCTTGACTCATATCAGTAGAAAGTGCAGATCCTAAGAAGCCGGTCTCAGATTTTTCAAATTCCTCCTCCCCTTGAAACTGTACCCTGTCAAAAATTGGCAAACAGTTTTTCTTCCCTCTCATGGCTGTATTTGACTATAAAAGGCAGACCAGAGTAAATACAAAAATTATGAGACAGATTTTGCTTACCCCACATCTGTCCTGGCCATGTGCAAATTTTTGAGCCAATCGATTGGTTCCTTGGGTACAAAATAGCTTTTTCATACCTGTATGTAGAGGATTTGTGAGTCCGGAGAAAACAGGATTTTGATGATCGCCCTTGCAAGGTACACTCGTAAACCACAGTGTAATCCGGATCAAGACACTAGAAGTTTTATGATCAATAAGCCTGTTTAAATAAAAAGCCCTGTTTATTTAAATTGGCCCAGGGGCCATTCATGGGATGCATGGATGTGCCATGTGATATTGTAAATGAGACATGCGACCACAACCGCAAAGCAAGGATAATCGGCTTAACAGGTCAAGTGATTTCCAGACCTCAACTAAAAGTTTTGATAAAGAAATTATGGAAACCTTCGTTTACATGGCATTTTTTCCATTTTCAAGATTTCTGTTCGTTTCAATTTTGGTATCATTGTGTGCCTTGAAAGTCGGGCTACTTGAATGTAAAATAATCAAAGAATGGATGTTTTCATCCAAAAAACGTTTACTGTAACCTTAAAATGTTTTTTATGTTTCATGTTCCTTACATTTACTAGCAAGCAAATATTTTCATAGCATGTACCTATATGTTTTAAGCTCAATAGTCATGCATCTGACAATGTCACTCATTTGGTTATACTTGTATTCAATTATATTCAACATTCCACTTTATACTAAAAACTAAAATGGTTTTCTGTTTATAGTTTGAAAGACTTCTAACGTCATCTAGCAGTCATGGTGTAAAGATTGTTGAAGTTGGGCCCAGGGATGGCTTGCAGAATGAAAAGGTGCTCTTTAACCCATATACTAATGATGAACAGAAAGTTTTGTTACCATTATCAAACACACCATATTCTCTCTTATGAGCAACCACTCTCTAATGATCGCCCCTCTCCAAAGAGTGCCCCCTTTTCAGCAAAGCTTTGGATGACTGTCCCTCTCTAATTAGCAACACAACTATTATGAAAACAGATGAAGACCAGCAAATCATCACAATAGTCACCAGTTAAAACATATTTGATAAAACCTATGCTGTTTCATTGGGAATATTATCTGTGAATACTGACAGAACCAGGTAAAAATCCATTCAAAGGTTTTGACCATTTTGATATTTAAGATGCCACTCCAGTGTTTATGCAAATTAACAAGGGTTTAGACTCTTAAGAAATTGACATCTTAAAAATATTTTGCCTTTGTAAATCAAAGCTTTTCTTTTATTGATGGTTTTTTTCATTTTTTTAATGAGCGCCCTCTCTAATGAATGCCCCTTGCAAATTAGCATCCCTTCTAAAAGGGCTAAAAGTTAAATGTGGGCCCCTGGTGCTAATTAGAGAGAATACAGTATGTCTCAAGAGACCAGTCATTTTAACCTTGGAACAATTTTTCACCTCGCTCTGAGAGAGCAAGATGGTTGAGATTTATGTGCCAGAAGTTTTGCCTCAGATGGCATTTTAATGGGACCTGACATCAGAGGATGAAGGCTTAACTGTAGTACTAGCCACAGGAAAAATAATTTCTTTCTGGAGACAAACATAATAATCTTTCAGGATATTTCCTTTGAAAAAAGGGGTTTCTGAAGAATGCTGGGATGTGAATATGTATGAATCTTGGCTCTATCTTATTAATAGTTTCATTTTAGCTAGTAAAGAAAAAACGTGCTCTTCGTCATCATATCAATCGTTGTCAACACAACAATTTACTTTAATGTGTAAATGCAAAATTACTTGAAGCTCTTCCTGTAATACTGTGAGTTATGTATCATATTCATTTCAGGATATCATCAACACAGAGACAAAAATTGAGTTTATTAACAGACTGTCAGATACTGGTTTGCAAACCATTGAAAGCACAAGTTTTGTATCACCCAAATGGGTGCCACAGGTATGGTTGAAACGTTTTTTTAATGCAAAACCATTTTTAGCACTAGCTATAGAATATGTTCTGAAATAAGTTTGCTAGAGAAATTTTTTCTTTTTTAAAGGTTCTAATAGTTGGATTTCTTGCCGAATGTAAGTAAAATAGTTGGTCATAAAGTTTGAATCTTAGATGTTCTAAAGTAATCTTGTTGAAAAATAACTTTGAGCTTTATCTTGTTTGCATCAGCTAGCAGACAGCAAGGAAGTGATGACAAAAATCGACAGAAGAAATGGAATATCATACCCAGTCTTGGTTCCCAATATGCAAGGTTTTCAACTTGCTGTGAGAAGAACACTTCTTTTTTCCCTTGTATAAACATAATCTTTCATGTCCTTTTATTTTTAGCAACAAATAAAGCATCAAAAACCTGAATACAGTGTACAAAAAGCAAGTTTTCCAGAACTGTCTAAGACAAGACTCCTTTGATATTTCAGCCCCAAGCCATTAGTAACAGATAGAAATGATTCTGTGATTGCTGCTTCAAAGCCATGTAGAAGTTTCTTAAAATTTTGTCTCATTTCATTTTAGCTGAAAGGGGATTTATAATAGCAATGATGTTTTACTTTGGCTTTTGTTTAATGAAACTTTCAAGCTAACAGATGCTAGTCTTTTTCATTGCAGTTCAAAAAGGTTTTTTTGTGTTACAAATATTTGATTTATATTATTCATCTTTATGTTTCTTTTCCCAATTGATGAAATGCATTGAACAATAAACAGATTGCATCTAATGTAAAAATTTTAGCTCGCAACTGGAGTCAAAGAAATATCAATTTTTGGAGCTGCTTCTGAATCATTTTCAAGGTAACTTGTTTCAGAAAAAGAATAATTCTGGATGTTTAAGGGTCTGAAAAATCAGTTTTGCAATTGGGGAAATTTCCTAAGAAAACTTTGTTTAAACTACTTTGCAAAACAATTTGTACTGCTTGTTTCTTGTGTGTGTCCTTAAGTGGCTTGTTTACATATTTAGCTTTAGCCAAGCCTGGGCACTTAAAACCCACCTTAAACAAATAAACCCAAAGAGCCCCTGAAAACATGAAACGACATTGCCACAAAAAACAGTATTGTTTTTAAAAGAAAATTTATTAAACTTAAATCATCTCCTCAAATAAAAGTAATGTCTTTTTTGATGACATTTTATGTCTGACTGGTTTTATGACCACTTCTACTCGAATACAATTTTAAATGAAAACACAGTTTTTGTGTTATAACTTCCCTCTACATAAACAGGGTAAATCTGTGATTAAAAAGTATCCCTATTTACACGATACTGTATTCAAATGAATACAACACAGTATTCAGCTCAGGGGTGTGGTGTAGGGGCTCATCCCCCTTGTTAATGACAAAAAGAGTCGATGTCTTCTTTTGCTATTGTTTTTGCAACATTTTGTGTGAGAGCTCCCCTGTTCTTGTGTGCGAGTCCCATCATAGCACTACACCCCTGACATATTGTGTTGACTTTCTGTGTACACGGAGGCACTAATGACTATGGTATGAAATGAGAGGTATCGTTTTGGTTATGGGTTGACAAGGAGACTACTTTTCGTTTTCAAATAATGGCCTCCTTGTCGTTGCACACAAAGCCATGCCTCTTGAAGATTCCTTCCAGTGAAGTGGACTTGCTAAAGCAAAAAATTATATATTTATGTAAAAAATCTGCACGTCTTTTGCGTGTTAATGTTTTTTTATTTCATAATCAAGGATGCCCCCGAAAAAAATTATTTAGAGGTGTGAAATAGAGAACCTCGAATTCCCTACAAACCTGTTTTTTGGAGCACCATTTAAGTCAAGGCCTGTTAAGGTCGAGTCAGAAAAAAAGTGGAATTAGACTATGCAATATTGAAACTTCTCAAGGTCACCCTCTCTTTCCTTGCTCTCATTCCTTCCCTTCCCTTAATTTCGTTTTATTGCTAAATTCATTGCATAGCTTTTGTTGTGTTTTTACCGCAGGAAAAACATTAACTGCTCAATAGAAGAAAGCTTGGACAGATTCAAACCGGTTTCTGAAGCTGCAAAGGAACATGGGATAAAGATACGTGGGTAATTTTTTTTAATTTTCTGTTCACTGCAAGTTTATCTTAAAACAACTTTATTTTTCTGTAATTTTTTAGACATGAATTGAAAGTTTTGGAAATCTTCCTCGTCAAAGCTCTTGCAATTGTATCGTACCTTGAAATGGCTGTATCATGTTTATCTATCATTGGATTTTAAATATGAAAATACATGCTCAGAAAAGTGAATACCCAGATAGACACGTTATAACAAACTTTATGAAAAATGCTTTAAGCAAAACGCAGCAAGCAACACTCGGGTTTTAGCAAAAACATCGTTGTTGATTATTTTCTGCAAAACGAGTGCAAAGAAAATAAAACTGCGTATTGTGAGACAAAAGACGTTAAATCTAGAGACAATGATTCTCAGCCTTCCTGGAACCAGCGATACCACACCCTAATTCCTCATTTATAAGACTTGTATTGAAATGACAAAATATTTAAAGGAGAACTGACACGCAAAGATAAGTTTGGCTAAATCGGTAGTTTGTGAAAAGCAAATTCCGGGATCGAACAAATTTTTTAAATCATAGTTACCGTTTTTGAAATTCAGGCATTTTAAGTTGAGAAACGACAAGTGTTCCGACAACTTGAGACTCGAGGCGAAAATCGTCACGAGTGGGCGATCATCTTTGACGTCACAAGTGACATGTTCTCAGCACGTATCGTGTTTCTCTATAGAGCCATTCTCAAAGAAAACTTGTAAAACCCGAACCTCTTTTTATCTAGAAATAGTCCCCTGCCCGTTTTAACTACCTTCCCCGACTATTTTAGTTCTCATAGCATGAATCCAATCTTTTCTTCACCCCAATACTTAGTAAAAAGTCTCGAAATTCTCTCCCCGAGGCTGACATGACGTCAGAATTTGTCGGCCCCTTTGAAAAAAAATGATGGTAGAGATTTTATTTTGACCCGGAGTCAAAATAAAATCTTCAACGATGGATCATTATCGCCAATTAAGCGTATTAAAAACGACAGATAGCATCAAACTTTTTTCAGCAATTTAGCCTTTTACACGATCGTTGTCGTTCATCGCGGTCCAATATCGAAAAAAAATTTAAGGAAAAACGATCGTGTAAACCCGCCTTAAGAAAATGCTACGGACAAATGTTTATTTTGTGCATGTGAAAGGAGCTAATTTTGCATTTTTGACACATAATTGACTTTTTCAATGGTTTGGGACTCTGAATCGGAGTTTTATTACACTGATTTCGAAACAAATGGAGAATTTCAGCCGTCTGAGTTTTTGCTACCAACCGGCGCTGCCGCTTGGGCAGACAGTCGTCCCATGGCTTGACGATGTTATGAACAAAGAACAGACTGGGAGTACAAACTGATATGGAATTTCTATTAAAAACAATGATATTGCTACAATCTAAATGAGATCAGGTATCGTAAAACTAGAATTCATTTCAGATTGAGGCGTCTTTGTTCAGACTGCTTTGTCTGTATGGCCTAATTCGCTGAAATGCCTATGATGCCCTAAACGGAACTGCAAGTTATTCATTATCAATGTAGCATTCTATTTTTGTTTTTCAATGTTTCAAACGCGTTAACTGTATCGTGATATTAAATAGTAAAGGCGGGTTAAAAGTCAACTTGTGCGGATTATATGCCATTTTCACCGGGCGTGAAGGGTTTCGGAAACTGATAAGTTACCTGGCAGTCGAAAAATCTGGAGTTACGAAATAGGCTTTTAGCTCTTAGTCAAAGAACTTGATTTCTTAGTCGGAGAGAATGCTGCTAGCAGTGGAATATCAACTGGCGCATTATCTTCTTTTGCAAACAATTTTGACTTGGGTAGGGAATGGTCTTTTTCAAGACTAGGTTATTCCCTAGTATATCAACCTCTGTTAAAATACAATAATCAAGTTCAGTGAAATTATTATTTAGTCACACTCGCAGCTCCCATCAACCAAGATTTTTCTTGAATTCATATTTCTGCACCCAAAGCAGGTTGTAGGATCGCTTTTACCGCTGTCTCCACTAGATTTCGTTTGTCTTTTGGCTATTGCTTCAACCACCCCCCCCCTCCCCTACCCCCATGCTTCGATTTTATTTATAATTATAAAAATAAAAACTTTGAAGAAACGGTATCAGTTTACAAACAAAGTCGACTCCTTTTTTCACAAGCTTAGAGGTTCTTTCAATGTTTCCAAGCATGTGGTTCGAAGATATCATGGTATAAAAATAAATTTTATGTGGATATTGGCGTCCTAGCAGACATGTAGCTAGGATTTTCTAGCTTCTTTATACTTATAAATGAAATGCCTGACGATTTTTTGTCTTTTCACCACGGAATTTTTTCAATAGAACACGAAACTTTATTTGTATTTTCACCGTTGCGGTGAAAGCCTTTACAACGGCATTGTTAACATGTCACTTTTGACGTCAACCCAGAATTTTAACAACTCCTGGCGATAACCTTGTTTCCGCTTCGGGAAATTGCCGAGTCCTGGCTGTGACGTAATTGACAGATAAAAGTGCAAATATCAGAAAAACGGCGAATCTAAGAAGAAAACTTTTTCCAGATTTGAAATCAGCGACAAATTTTGCATCGAATAAGCCAAAGTTATTTTTGCGTGTCAGTTCTCCTTTAAAACAGCAATGAATTGTTTAGCAAATTCAGCAGTTAAGTAAATTACAATAAAAACTCATTATCATTATACTCGATAACCATCTAAATCTTATATTCCCATACCTAAAATTGCTGCGAAGGCGACCTTATTATGACCTCTAGCAGTTACTGATTAGCGACTACTGAAAGTTAACCGTTTACCTCAAACGATTTGTGCGGTCAAATCCTTTAAAAGTTTTCAATATTTATTTCATCATGACAAACAATGTGAATACTTGTATCCAGCCTCGTAGTTTGACGGAAAATTCTGATATGAGCACAAAAAATTTTACAATAAAATTTCGAGTAGTTTCAAAACTAGGCCGTAATTTGTTGAATTTCCCCCGTTAGGGATTCATCCTGCAAGTGAAAATTCTGTTTTTTATTTGCAGTTATGTGTCTTGCGTAGCTGGTTGCCCCTATGAAGGAAATATTGAGCCAGCAGCTGTTGCCAAGGTTGCCCTTTAACATTGCTTAACACTTTATTTTAATACGAAGGGGTCTCAACACAGTACATTATATACATCAGTACACCATATTTATACAAAAACTTGCAGACGTCCGCGTTACTCTGAGAAGCCTCCATGTCTGACCCGGGGGTGCAGGCCCCGCGCGTTCCTCATACAACCCAGGTGGATGTTACTTGTGAATTTGATTTCTAGACGGCTGCACTTAATCACAGAGATTGATTTGCAACATTGAGATCATGGAGAAACCTTCTTTCTTCTAACTTCTAGTTCATAAAAATCCCCAGTCAATTTTCCTCATATAAACAAGGCAACATTTAACACTAGGAACCCTTTAAAAAATTAAGAAAAAAAATTAAAACTTAAGTGCACCGATTTCAAGGGGCCAGCGAAACAGTTTCAGTCAAGATTTTTTTCAAAACGTGGCTTTAGAAAGAATTTGACCCCCGTACTTGCCATCTGAACGAGCGAGCCCTATATTCTTGCTAAAGGCTCCCACATTAAGCCGAAAACCCACTCTGGAAAACGATCCGCGGATCGGATCAGATCGTGTTGTTCTGATCAGTTTCTTTCGATCCGCGGATCGTTTCAGATTGGAATGCACGTTGACATTTGCTCCACGGAATCCTTGCCTCATGACGCAAGTGCTCTATTGTTTAAAAAGTTCTAATTCGATTTTGATCAAAAGAAAACTATTGTATCAGAACGGTTCAGAAAAAGTTGAAATGATTTCAACTTTTTTTCGATCCTTTTCGATCCGTCGCGGATCAGTCATGTGACCATTTTTGCATCCAAAGCGCTTGCGCAACACAAAATTTGATCCGATCGGCGGATCATTTTCCTAGTGTCACACGTTTCTCTAACTCATGTTTGTCTAATAAATACCACTGCAATGCACAACAGGTTGCCAAAGCGATGGCTGAACTTGGTTGCTATGAAGTTTCCCTTGGCGATACAATCGGAGTAGGGACACCAGGTGCGTCTTGTTCCAACTTAGACCCTGTTTACACGAGACCTGGACCAGATCGGATCCAAAAGTATCCGGATACTTGTGGATCCGATTCCAGGCGTTTACACGCGATCCGATCCAAAACAATTTGCGTTTACACGGGATCGGATCCATATGATATAAACAGATAATGCTCATGCGCTTTTCAAAAATGGCCTGCATCAGAGGTTTTAGATCCTGTCAACACAATGTTAGTACCCTTTATTAGTAGCTTTAGACTGTGTTCCCTGGTTTTCATCTTTTCCTTATCTTTTTACTCTTTTCTGTGCTCTTATTGATGAAACTGTAAGTTGTTCGAATGCTATTTATAAGCCCGTTGACTAGATGGCGTTATCATATCGTCGTGGTTTTAATTCGGACAAGGACGAAACTAATGTGCAGTTACTAAAACGAAATTGTTTATCCTCGTTGCCTTGCTGTTTATTTTGTATTGCAGCTTGGAATGAGAGCTGATTAGCATCTCTTTAACCTAGGATCAATCAATGCGATGCTGGATGCTGTTTTGTGCGAAATACCGGCTTCGCAAGTAGCGATTCACTGCCATGACACTTATGGGCAGGCACTTGCCAACATCCTTGCGTCGCTTCAGGTATGTCTTTTTATACTAAATACATTTCTTTAAAACTGTATACACACACCTTTTGCATACCAATTTTTGAGATTATACGTTATTGGATGCAAAGTCGAGGGCAGATAAACATTGTAACTGGTCTTAAGTTTTCGTTAGATTGGCATTATTCAAAAATTGGCATTATCGACTTAGCTCGAAAGCGAAAGTCTAGTACTGTATGTAAGCTTTGCTACATTTCCATCTTGTTCTTCTAATAGCGAGGAATTCGGACTGTTGATGCATCAGTTGCTGGTCTTGGAGGCTGTCCGTATGCCAAAGGTGCATCTGGAAATGTAGCCACTGAAGATGTTGTTTACATGTTAAAAGGCATGGGGCTCAAGACGGTGTGTTTGCAATTATATCTTTTGTGATTAATAAAACCGTAATGTAATGACAGCTAAATGTGTTTCTTCGCACAAGATGCGTTGACACAAGATGCGTTGACACAAGATGCGTTGGCACAAGATGCGTTGGCACAAGATGCGTTGGCACAAGATGCGTTGGCACAAGATGCGTTGGCACAAGATGCGTTGGCACAAGATGCGTTGGGCCCTGCCTAGCCAACCCATCGACAGTACTGTGTACCTATTAGATTAACAGTCATTGTAACTGCTATTTTTCGAGAATTGTATGTCAGTTTCTTGGAACATAATTCATTTCCTTGTTTTTTTGCAGTTTATCAACCTTGGGATTAGCATTTCCTTTGTTTTACTAATAAAAAATGCTCTATCGCATTAAAGCTAATCCTTGCAATGGAGATCATTTCAACATCCACACATTAATTTAAAGATTCAGCTGTCACAATTTATAGATTCACCAAGTAGGGGATTTTCTTTGTTTTTCAATTAAGCAAAGTGTCTTCAGATTGTTTCAAACTACACATATACTAAGCTTGAAAAAAAGCTTGAATATATTTGGTTGTCTATGTAGCGCAATTCAACAACTTTTAGCCAGAAATCCTTGCTTATGTGGTTTAATCATACATTTTTATACGTTAGATGTATTTTCATACATTATTTTATTTTCAGGGAGTGAGTTTGAAAAAGATAGTTAAAGTTGGATTGTGGATTTCAAATTTTTTGAAGAGACGACCGCAGTCAAAAGTTGCCATTGCATTATCGCAAAAATCTTGCGACGTTTGTTCTGGCAAAGCCGAAATGAAATGAATCTTTAAAGACTGGTTTGAATGTGAAAGTTTTTAATCAGTCACGACGTAATTATTGTCACCTTTGTAAAAGTTTGTTTGCTTTCACAATTGCATTACAAGTAAAATTAATCCTAGTGTTATAGTAACAATCCTGCAAATACAGTCAAGTGTGAAAACCGTGCTCCTTTTGTAATATTCTCAATTTATGCTCGGTGATACATTGGGAGTTTCTAAGTTTTGTTAAGGCAATTATTTAAAAAAACTACTATTATCACAATAATTTCAAGATACAAAAGAAGTGTAGAAAGTAATTACACAATGTTTCTAAACTCTGTCTTTTCTTCCTTTTTTCAATTTCTGCAAGTCCATTTTGGTTTGTTTCGTTTTCTAGAAGTCTTTCTTATTCGTGGCTTTAACCAAAGCGCGCAGCTAATGTTAGCTTATCTTATTTTAGCAATGCTAGTCGCGAGATCATGCCATTTATCCTCTTTTTCTTTAAGCAGTGAAATACTTTCGTCTAAAAATATGAAAATAGCAATGTTAAGTTTGACATAATCTATTACCAATGTTAGCATGAAGTGCCCTCGTTTGGAAGCTAATATTTTGAAATAACGTGCAAATGCCATCATCACAGGGTTTTAAAAACATGAAACAACCCAGTTTCTGCTAGAATAACGTACAAATGCTATGATGTCAATGTTTGAGAGAGCATGTAACAAACAAGAAAATTCTAAAATAACACGCAGCTGCAAAATGTTTTGGAATGCATGTAACAACCAAGATAATTGTATAACATAATGCAACTGGAACATGTTTGGCAGCGTGTAACAACCCGGTCCGTTTTAAAACAATGGGAAACTTCTGTCATGAGATGTTTGGAAGAGGATGTAACAACAAAGATAATTCTATAACAACACGCAACTGCAAAATTTTGGGAGTTCGTGTAACAACCCGGTCCGTTCTACAACAATGGGAAACTTCTGTCATGCAAATTTTTGGTAGAGGATGTAACAACCAAGATATTTCTATAACAACACGCAATTGCAAAATTTTGGGAGTTCGTGTAACAACCCGGTCCGTTCTACAACAATGGGAAACTTCTGTCGTGCAAATTTTTGGAAGAGGATGTAACAACCAAGATAATTCTATAACAACACGCAACTGCAAAATGTTTGGGAGTTCATGTAACAACCCGGTCCGTTCTAAAACAGTGGGCAGCTTCTGTCATGCAGATGTTTGGAAGAGGATGTAACAACCAAGATAATTCTATAACAACACGCAACTGCAAAATGTTTGGGAGTTCGTGTAACAACCCGGTCCGTTCTACAACAATGGGAAACTTCTGTCATGCAAATGCTCGGAAGAGGATGTAACAACCAAGATAATTCTATAACAACATGCAACTGCAAAATGTTTGGGAGTTCGTGTAACAACCCGGTCCGTTCTAAAACAGTGGGCAGCTTCTGTCATGCAGATGTTTGGAAGAGGATGTAACAACCAAGATAATTCTATAACAACACGCAACTGCAAAATTTTGGGAGTTCGTGTAACAACCCGGTCCGTTCTACAACAATGGGAAACTTCTGTCATGCAAATTTTTGGAAGAGGATGTAACAACCAAGATAATTCTATAACAACACGCAACTGCAAAATGTTTGGGAGTTCGTGTAACAACCCGGTCTGTTGATGTAACAAGAAAGATAGTTATATAACAATAGGCAACTGCAAAATGTTTGGGAGTTCGTGTAACAACCTGGTCCGTTCTACAACAATGGGAAACTTCTGTCATGCAAATGCTTGGAGTAGGATGTAACAACAAAGATAATTATATAACAACACCCAACTGCAAAATGTTTGGGTGTGTGTGTAACAACCCGGTTTGTTGATGTAACAACAAAGATAATTATATAACAACAGGCAACTGCAAAATGTTTGGGAGTTCGTGTAACAACCCGGTCCTTTCTACAACAATGGGAAACTTCTGTCATGCAAATTTTTGGAATAGGATGTAATAACCAAGATAATTCCATAACAACACCCAACTGCAAAATGTTTGGGAGTTCGTGTAACAACCCGGTCCGTTCTACAACAATGAGAAA